GCTGAAGACGACTATCAGAGCAACCTGGGCTCTCATAACACCTGAGCAGTGCCACAGACTGATCGAGTCCATGCCACGCCGCATTACTGCAGTTATTGAGGCAAAAGGAGCCCCGACTAAGTATTGAGTGCTATACATGCACATTCTTTTCATGTTCATTCTTTTCAGTTGGCCAACATTAGAGAAACAAACATTTTTTCATTGGCCTTTAGAATATTCTAATTTTCTGAGATACCAGATTTGATGTTTTCATTGGTTGTCACCTATAAATATCCAATTTAAATGTAATGAACATTGGAAATACATTGGTCTGTGTGCATTGCATGAATATAATGTACAAGTTTCACGTTTTGAATGGAATTACTGAAATATTTTCAACCTTTTGATGATATTCTAATTTACTGGCCAGCACCTGTATGTATGTATATATATGTATGTGTTTTTTTTTTTTAATAAATCAATTGTAACTCTTGGAGCCACGTCTCATGCCTCATTTAATGGAATGAACTTATGTGCCTTCTGATACTTCCTTGGGTGAAACTCCCAAGGTGGCGTTGGCAACTGTTGGCTGCTCCCTGAACAAAGTAAAAGGTTAATGTATTTGGAGCCCGCCATATCTATAGCCCCCACTCATATTGCCACACATGTTCTCAATCCCCAGTGAGTCATGGTGAATGGCTGTTAAAAGGGAGTTTTCCTCTCCACTGTTGCTGCATGCTTGCTTGGTATGAGGATTGCTGTAAAGATTCTGACACTAGTCAGTGACTCGATGCAACCTGCTGGGTTCCTTATATAGGAAACTTACTGATTGGCCTAATGAACTGACCTGTGTGTTTATGCGAAGTGCCTTGAAACGACTCGTGATTTGGCGCTTTACAAACTTGAATAATCTTAATGTGAGCTCACTTCATTCAATAACTTGGACCCTGTGAATAAAATTTAAGTCTGTTAAAGTAAACTCCCTAAAATCTGCCTGCAGACACATATACGTGATTAGAGTGAAATAAGACGAGTTCAATCTGGACTAAACGTTAAATTTCCAAAGGATGAGTCTCAGTCAAATAACATGTAGTGGTTAGTTTTTATTTATATAGCGCCAAATCACGACAAGCGTCATTTCAAGGCACTTCACATAACATTCCAATACAGGTCAGTTCATTAAGCCAATCAGAAGTTTCCTATAAGTGTGGCAAAATGGGTCTGTACTAAGTAGAATGTTAAGTTGTTTATGATGCCACCCCAGAGCCGGTAGGCTCCAGCGAACTAAAAGGATGTAGGTCCGTGCACCCACAGAGGAACAGACTGGTGTTCTTAAATGCAATAAAATCCTATATTTGATAATAAAATACAAATAATATATTAAATTAACAAGGAAGTGCTACACAGGTCAGTTATGTTAACAGGGAAAACCTAAATAAATGCCGACTGGCTCCATCAAATGTATCCGGTGTGGGAGATCCAGTGGTTGCCCTGGCGACCAAACGCTCTGCAGCCCCGCCAGCAGCGGGCTAAAATACCGTATTAGGAGGGTTAAAACGGCAGTGTGGAGCCTTGGGGCACACTGCTTAAATCCAGTCGTCCAGGAACGCCAAGGTGAAGCAGCGAGGGACCCAACACAGCCCAGGTGGCGGAGCCGTCGAGGCGTACCACCAATACAGACAACCCCCAGCCGGCACCGCAGACCGCGCTGCAAGACAAACAGATGGTAAAAAGCCCCGGGATCAGCTCACCCCGTAACCCAAAACTACTGGCTTACCTCTGCCGAGTGGGGGAGGAGATCAGCTGCCCGAGGAAAACAACCTCCAAACAGGAGGAGGCCACTCTGGTTATACACATGTTCTGGCTGGCAAGTTTAGAGCTGTGTAAAGCGTCAGCTTCCAACCAGCACTTTCACTACAGATAAACCATATATGCTGCCACAGAGAGGAAATACTAATGAGGCAGTAAACTGGATTTTACTTAGTCGCAAACGGCAGATCGTCACCTCAAACAAGCTCGGTGCTGAGGATTAGGAGCAGAGAGCTTTGTGTGAGCAGCAGGTATCTGCCTCTTATGAAGGCAGCATGCCCCGCCCCACAATCACCAGGATGTCATCCACCTGGACAAGTCTCCATGAACCAAACTGTTCATCCCACCACATAAGGAACCCAGCAGGTTGCATCGAGTCACTGACTAGTGTCAGCGTCTTTACAGCAATCCTCATACTAAGCAAGCATATAGCGACTGTGGAGAGGAAAACTTCCTTTTAACAGGAAGAAACCTCCAGAGGATCCTGGCTCAGTATAAGCAGCCATCCTCCACGTTTCACTGGGGATGGAGAAGACGGAACACACACACACACACACACACACACACACACACACACACACACACACACACACACACACACACACACACACACACACACACACACACACATTTCTATGGTTACATTGTGATTTCTTAGTAAATATTCTATTAGGTGAGAGATAAACTTATTTATCCTAGTGAATCTATAATTAAACGGGTAAACTAGCAGTAGCACATCCAACGTCAAAGAGAGTAAAATGTTATTATCAGGAGAGGGATAATGATTAAATGGTTAGCAACAGTGTTCAAGGCCGATGGCCCCCTCCATGAGACCACCACAGCTCAGCAGAACATCATTGTTGCTTCTTCTGGGGAGAAAAACACTTAAGAGAAAAAATAAAGTTAGCAGCTGAAATTTTAGCTAGCTAGCATCAGCTAACATTAGCGGAATAATAAACTCTACTGACCAAGCCCCCGATAGCCACGTCCAGGTCATCTGTGAGGATTAAAACAATGTTTGGTCTCCGGGAAGATGCAGCAAAAAACCCGCAGCTCAGGTCGCTGCACAGAGTGACGCAGATTAAGACGCTGTTCAACAGCATCTTCCGGGAAAAGCAGCGACTGTGCGTCATTTTGTTAAATTTAGCGACAAATGGCCGAAGCTGGGCGTCTTAGACGCTTTTTTACGCCTTTTTAAAAATGTTAAATATGGTTAAAATTGAAATGGGAGGAGGAAGAGAAGGAGAGCAGACACAGCTGAAACTAATACCGGTCACGTGGTCACATGCTACACTACAGAAGCCCGAGTGGGCGGATAAAAAACGCGAAGCCGCTTGATCTAAATTTACTTCTAACAGCCAAACATAAATGAAAACGGGACATTTTAGAAGGTAGAACTTCTAAAAAGCACATAAAAGTAGAAAAAGATTAATTCAGACAACGTAGTCTTATGAAAGTTGGACAAATTAACTGAATCTGGACTAAATGTCATTATGTTAGAGGGGAACAATCAATTGAGTTAATAAAATTTTATTGGACGATTCAGATTTAAAAACACCTCACAACCTTAATAGAGGACTTTGGCTTCTTGCCCCAGCTTTTATTATTTATAGACATTTAATTCAATTTTTTTTATTAAATTAGTAGTTATTTATTCTAGTAAATTTGTCGGTATTGTTTTATTTCATTTTGAAATAGTAATTTATTTCATGTTTGCATGTCCGGATAATCTGAAATAGTAAAAAAAAATAATTAGTTACACCAAATACAACTTTGGATCTCAGGTGGTTAACTTCAGGGCATATTTAGTGCTGCTGCTCTAGCGTGAACTACACGTCTATTCAATATATCTTCATAAAAATCGCTGATGCTTTCCCAAAAATAAAATTGGCTTGTTTCTTTAGATTCATGTAGTTTTTGAAATTTTCAAGGACATTTTTTTAGTTAATAGTGGTCTTAACTGCACCATAGGAAACAATCAGATGCTCTATTTAACAAGGTGAACGTTAAAAATATAGATGAGAATTTATTAAATGTATTTTATTACTTTATGTAAAAATCAATTTTTAGACACCTATAAGGTCTAATAGAAAAAGTGCTGTTATTCGAGTTTTATGTTGCAGCTTCTATGAGCAAATGTGCCAATGCGGGTGAAAAAAGACAATATTTATAAACTTTCCAACATAAAATTAACGATAAAACGTAGTGAGCTTCTTATTTCCGTTTAATGTTTAGTTAGGGATTCGCTTTGAAAGCTAGAAGCTGATTGGTCCACATTTGTTTCGGCTTGTTTCTGATTGGTCAGCCCAGTAGCTCGAGGCACCTGCGACACCTGTCGCGCGACCTGCAGAAAGTTTGACAGTCGTTAAGAAGTTCAAGTGGGCAGGCCCATTGTCGATCCGCAGGAGGGGGAGGCTGGGAGATCGGATCCGGAAGATTCGGGAAGAAAACGGAGAGGCAGACGGATCTGCACCTTGCCGAGAGCGGGAATGGAGCCTTCCAGGAACTCTCCCAAACCCGCAAGGAAAACTTTCCAAATTCCTCCTGAAAAATGAAAACGTGAACGTAGAAAAACCACCAGAGGATCCGGGTCCCGTTAGACAGCTGGTGGAGAAACGATGTCGTCAAAGGAGAAATCACGCAGAAAGGAACTTTTCGAAGTTGACGTATGCGACCGCGGCGTTTGCTCCGAGGACGAGAGCGGCGTCTTCGTCAGCTCTGCGCTCTACGAGGACTTCTGCGGCTTTCAGCAGTGGACGAACCCGAACGAGTCACCTAACGACACATCATCCTCCTCCCTGGGGGAGCAGGGGGTCTCCGCGGAGGCGGCAGCTCCGCCCGCCACACAGCGGAGCAGCGCGGCAGGCGACTCCGAGTCCCGGGCGGATGGAGCCGGAGCTCCGAGGACCTCCATAGTGGACTACCTGTTGGTGGAGCTTTATGACGCCTACAGCGGAGGCAGCCGGAAGAACGCGGACAGCTGGGACAGCTCCACGGAGGCGTCCGGTTCGGATGCCTTTCTGGGCCGCAGCACCTGCGGGTCCAGCTTCCTCCAGGAGCTCCAAGAGAAACACACCAGAAGGCACCAGATGAACTATCTGGCTCAGAAAGGTGAGCGCCAACAGTTAAAAACACTAAAACTAAACTTTCCTGTGTATGAATACAGTTGTCTATCAGTGATGTCTGGGGTTTGTCCAACACGCAAATATGAGTTTAACGAAACCTGATTCAGTTTCCCATAATGTTAAACACAAGCTTCAAACCAAGTTGCAAGATTAAAACCAGCACTTACTTGGTGGAAACCATCTTTTCCTTATTAATACTGAGCAGAACTGAGTTTTTAAAGTGTATTTTAAATAAAGCACGTGGCACAAAAGGTGAAATATTTTATCCAGAGGGGTAGGAGGCCCTTCACTGATATTTCAGTACATTTGCACTGGTCTCTAGTAGGAACCATAGGAATGTCTTGTAAGTCGTACTCTGGGGGGGGGGGGAGCTTTGCCCCTTCAGCGTGGAGGATTCAGCCAGAGAAGGTAGCTTCAGAGGGTAGGGTCTGGAGCATGGACGTAATTTTCACTTTAGAAGTGGGGGGGGACACGGGGGGGGGGGGGGGTATCTTTACAGTATGCTCTAATGGGAAACAGACTTCAAGCCAAACAGTTGTTTTCCGCTTGGTCCTAGAGCTCAACCAGTGTCAATTTAATATAGCGTAATGTTGTTTTTGGATGGTAAAAAGTGCAGGGGTCAAAACTTGACTTTGGAAAAAGTGGGGGGGACATGTCTCTCCCCCCCCACCCCACCCCCCACCCCCAAAATTCCGTCCATGGTCTGGAGTCTTATTTCCTGATATCTGGACATCTCTCCTCTTATTGGCTAACAGTACGACTCTGCCACTGACTGTTGATGTTTTGCCTCCACAAATAACACAAGCCTGAAGGAGTTCTGCTGTGTGGTGGAGTTGCTAGTGCTTATAGTTAGCGTCTACTAGGTGAGGCGTTCTCTGCTGTTTCCTGGACGCTAAACCAACAACAGCCTTCCCCGTCGTGGGTCAACATGGGTGAGTTCATGAATGTTAAGCGACAGTGTGACGTAGATCTGTCAGGATTTATTAACTCTAGAGTTTCAACGTCTGTTTTCTATCAGAGACTAATATATATTAATTATTAAATTAATTAATATATTAAATTATATTAAATTCAGTTCAGTTTATTTATATAGCGCCAAATCACGACAAGAGTCGTCTCAAGGACCTTCACATAGTAAACATTCCAATTCAGGTCAGGTCATTAAGCCAATCAGGAAAAAGTTTCCTAAATAAGGAACCCAGCAGGTTGCATCGAGTCACTGACTAGTGTCAGTGACTATAGAGCAATCCTCATACTAAGCAAGCATGCAGCGACAGTGGAGAGGAAAACTCCCTTTTAACAGGAAGAAACCTCCAGAGAATCCTGGCTCAGTATAAGCAGCCATCCTCCACGACTCACTGGGGATGGAGAAGACAGAGCAGACACACTAGGGCTGGGTGATATGGCAAGAAAAGAATATCAAGATTTTTCCAATATTTTATCACAATTTCGATTTTATCACGATTTTTATCCATGAATAGCATAACTTCAATTGCGTATTAAAGAAGAGAAACATTGAATAAATAAACATTTATTCATATTAGGGATAATCAGCACAGTGCTAACACACTTATATTTTAAACTCACACCAGAGATGATAAAAGCCCTGAGAGAAACAATTACAAAAATCAGTTTTTCTCGTTTTTCAAGTAACTTAACATAAATTAAAATCGTAAACATATTTAAAGTGCAAACATGTCAATTGCAAACGTATTGTGCAAACATTAACTTGTTCAAAATACTATGTAGCTCCCAGTTGGTCATGTAGTGGATAGTTAAGCTCAAATACGGCTCTGATGTGCGGCTGGACCAGAGATCGCTTGTGGTAGCAAAAAACTGCGCATTCTGAATATTTTCTGCAACAAGTCTCTAAATAAAGTAAAATTTTCCAGTGCAGATTGGAGACAACCCATAGAAGCACTGATTTGATCTCATTTCAGATAAAAATAGAACAGGTTAGATGCACCTAATAAATAAAATTACTAACAAACTCAGGAATCTTTCTTTGCTTCCCTGTTCTGGTGCTGAAAATATCACTAATGCGGATGAAAGGAGATACACAGATTAATGCACCTCTTATTTATTATTTGGAGACTACATTTACTGCAGCTGGCAGAGGTAGAGATTGTTTCTATTGATACACGAATTTACAGAATCATTTTAAATGTTAATAGGGGAAGACTGCAGGAGGTAGCGGTAAATTACAGGGGGTCCCCAGCAAAAACAAGAAACTACGAGTCTGATGAAACCCGCTGGTTTTCCATCAGGCAGTCACGGGGCAGCTCCAGCGACCCAGTGACCGAGCTCAGTCCGGTACCGACACCGGCTCGGCAGAGGGTGAACGAGCCGAGGTGACGTCGTGCTCTGCTTAAGAAGAAGTGTTATTTTCTTGCTTCAGAAGAAGCGTCCAACGTGTTTTTACGCTTTCTCCGAGACATGTCACGTCGCTAAGTAGTTAGCGCCGCGCGCTAAGGAAACCCTGCGTTCCTCTTCGGAACGAAAACCTCGTTGTCGCTCAGCCGCGGCCGATGCCATGTTTGTTCACACACAAGTGAAAACAAGCGGGGCACTAATATATTACTATGACTCACTCTGATTGGTTAAGGGTCAAACAAAGGCGTGTCATTCGCCGGAGGTAAGTTCCCTTTTCATTCAGAGGCAGAAATTCAACAGCAGAGCTGTGAATCGTGATAAAACGGTCTCTCAAAAATGACAGACCGTCAGATGTGTAGATCGTAAAACGGTCTAAAATCGTCGTATCGCCCAGCCCTAACACACACACACACACACACATGCACAGATACCAAGTAGTGTTTCCATCTCTACATTGTGATTTCTTAGTAGATATTTTATTTAGTAAGAGATAAACTTTATTGTCTTAATCTGAGTGAATGCATAAATAATCCAACAGGTGAACTACTAGTTACACATTCCATGTTGTAATCAGGAGAGGTGGAGTGTTTTGTGCCATCAGGACTAATGCAGGAGCTGCCCATCTCCATGCTCAGCCTGCAGGTTAAACTCAGTTACCGATCATTTAAAAAATAAAGTAAGAAAATGATTTCTCAGTAAAGAGTCTCGTTATTAGCACCCAGACTGGGTCCAGTGTTTCACTACTTCTGACAATAAAATCTAACCTAACAACATATTTATATATATATTTAAAGATTCAACATAAAAGAGGCCGTGCGATGGACTGGCAGCCTGTCCAGGGTGTACCCCGCCTGCTTGCCCAGAGATTACTGGAAATGGGCACCAGCCCCCGTGACCCGAGTGGACAAACGTGTAGATGGATGGATTTATAAAAGAGATCTTAAACTGAGGGCTGTGGAAATCCTGATTTTATGTTTAAAAAGTGACAGGAACTGCCACTGAAGGTCACTAATAAAGTGAAAAGTAGATTTAAGTGCATGTCCAGCTGTTATGGATACATAAATTCACAAGATTTCACAACATCTGCTTCTAACACAAGTCGGTCAGTTTAAGTTTAGGATGACGGAAGGAAACAGAAACAGAATTATTCAGATTTGATCAAGTATTTGTCGTCTCAGGTTGTCTAATTCATAAAAAAGCGTCTAATAGAACGTGTTTTCCGTGAGGAGGTGTGAGGCATATATCTGAGTGCTTTGGCTGAAGATCCATCATGTCAGCTTTGTGTTTATTTGCTTTCCTCTGCATGTCCTGCAGCGTTGCCTCGGACCCTTCACGGGAATGTTACTGGGCACCTTGCTGCCGTTCCCTCCGCTGGAGAGGAATCCTGCATTAGACGAAGCCGGATCCTGTGGGCTCTTTGCCCTTTACACACATTTGGCCCGGTGGAGTTAAACAATGCAGAGCTGCCACTCAGGAAAAGGAAACGCTTTGGGACAGCTTCAAACAGCAGCCTCAACACGAGTCTCGTTTTAGCAGGGTGCCTTTTGCTTGAAGCTTGTTTGTCACAAATGAAATCTAATATTTTGTCAAATGAGTTTCCTTGAGTGGAAAATTAGGAAATGGCAAAAAAAGCTCTTATTTTACAGAACCCCCCCCCCCCCAAAACGTATAATAATTACTGTTTAAATGATTTGTATTTGTAGCACATCAAACACCTGAGACAAACAACAAACAGAGCAAATGTACTTAAAACAGACCCCGAGCAACTGAGATGAATATATATCAAACATGACTCATGAACACAATTGGTTAAATGTTTATCAAACCATCAAAAATTAGGATTAAAACGAGAAAAGGTGTCTTTTCCCAGTACTGTGCTGCAGGAGGTCAGGAAAGTGGAAGTCCTTGTCATCAGATAAAACCTGGATGCAGTTTTCTTGACCATCTCTGAATTATTTCCTCCCTTTAGGGAAATATTCCAGAGGAACACAACTCAAGAAAACCGCTAAATTATAAAAAAAATAAAAAATTACCGTCAACTTTATGGATTTTACTTTTATTGAAAGCTGTCAATTTCAGCTTGAGTAGATTAAAGCCTTTAAAGCTAACATTCAGAGTTTTCCCCCTTTCAGGGATTGTTAGCCTGGCAAGCCGTCCTAAAAGTGTGAATGTGTAGTCTGGCCACACAACCTTTAGACAGATCTCAGGCCTAGTCCACACGTAGCCGGGTTTTTTAAAAACGAATACCCGCCCCTCCAAAAACTTGCATCCACACCACCGCGTTTTAATAAAATAACTGTGTCCACACGTACCCGGATAAATACGTTGTTAAGGACATGCCAGACCTGTAGGCGGCAGTACTTCCCCCGTTCTTAACCTCGTCCTTCGTCTGTGGTCTTCCACAAGGAGCAGTAATTCCGCTTGCAAAAACAAACAAGCAGAAAGCGCTTGGACGATTGATAAAGCGAGCGCAGCTCTGAGGGCATCCATGCTGTCGGCTAGTGTAAACACAGGTCGCACACGTGATGTCAGCATTTTTTTGTCGCGGAAAGTGACGTTGTGGACCTTAAAACTCCGGTTTTGTCCGTCCACATGCAGACACCCAAAACGGAGAAAACGCAGATCTTCACTTTGGCCGGAGTTTTTAAAAAGATCCGTTTTCGTGTGAAAAAACTCCGTTTTCGTGTGGATGACAGGCCAAAACGTAGAAAAATATCTACGTTTTGGCAGATCCCCGGCTACGTGTGGACAGGGCCTCAGTCGTGGGGCAGGATCTACGGCTGTCTCTTAAGTTGTCTCCACGTGCTATTGGACAACAAATAATGTGACGTACTCACCGCTACAGTCGGCGGGGCAGTTCACCGTACCCTGTTGAAGAAGACTCAAATACGTCGTTTTTCTAAAAGTACCTCTATCTGCTCTTGACTCAAAGAAAAGCCCGAGCCTAAATAGTCCAAAGTTGATGCCAAAGCCGTTTGAACCCAGCTCTGTGGCCTTCTTAGTTTTGCTCAGGCGCAGTAACACCCTTCCCACCCAACTGAGAGCTATGATCGGCAAGTCTCTATCCTGGTCTCCATTGCTGATGGAGCGGGGCTACATAGACACGCAGAGCAAAAACTTTTAGCTTCTGCTTCAGTCATGCTAGATTTCTAGGCTAGAATGATGAATGATTTTTTATAAATCTGTAAAAGTGATGGCTTACACTGTTCTGATGTGTGCTTTTGTTTTGCTAAGGTCGTCCCCCGTCTAGTAAAGCCCCGTGCAATTAGAATCCCCAGTATTGGCCAATACCCAACCAACATTGGTCCGACGCCGACGTAGTGTCCACGTCCAAAATTGGTTGCAGTAGGACGGCCAAATTTGTAAAAAATAAAAATAACAGAACATGTCTTAAATCCATTCAGATACATTTGTACATGCCTACAGTTATATGTATAATTGTTATTTTGACAATTAGTTACGTGTAGTTCAACAAAGCATCCCAGCAAATATTGGTCCGACGGCAACGTTGTGTCCACGGTCAAAAATGGTCGCAGTAGGACGGTCCAAATAAAAAAAAATTAACATTTCCTAAAAATCCCCTCAGATTTGTAGTTACATGTATAATTGTTACGTTGACGATAACTTGCGTATTCAACACATGGCATGTCGTGAATCAGTTGTAAGTGAAAATCTACTAAATATCAACGGGATAACTCAACCGGTTAGTCGTCTGACTTGCACTCTGGAGGACCTGGGTTCGAGTCCAGGCTGGGATAAGTCAATCGGTGAAGCAAGGTTGGACACAGGAAATATTCTATTTATTACAATTGTTGTCAAATGTACAAACTACATTTTATTTTACAGTGTAGATGAGTTGTACACTCACGGTCATTAAACGTCCAAATGAGACGTGCCGAAAGACGTGTAATTCACGTCCAAATATAAACGTGTAATTCACGTCCAGAAAAGACGTTGGTTCAACTTTCATTTTGGAACCATTTTTCAACCGTGACAGGACGTGTCAGCCCGACGTCTTTTCAGCGTTGATTAAATGTTTGCTGGGTAGTAGCGTTTGACATTCGCTAACATGCAGCTGTCAGTCGTAGAACGTTTCTGGACTAACCTAGATTTACCTGTCGGTCTGCGTTCCTACCCTCATTTATGGTCATGAACTTTGGGTAGTCAGCAAAAGGATGAAATTATGTATACAAGTAGGGCTGCAGCTATCGAATATTTTTGTAATCGAGTACTCTATCGAATCTTTTATCGATTAATCGAGTACTCTAATAAATTACTCTTTTGCGTTTTTAAACCATTATATCAAATAGCATGTTATAAAATATGAAAGACCTCTTGAAATGAGCATGCTATTGCCAGTTATTCTTCAAGTTTTATTCAAAATTAGTTTTCAAAACTTCAACTTTACTTCACAGCAAACAAATGCGAGCGGCTGAGGCACAAACAGCACCAGAACCGCTCACGGCACATGCGCAAACATGGCTCGCCAGCTGTTTCCCTATTAACACACGTTCGTTTTAATTTCTACACTTTTTTTGTCTAACACTAACGAGGATTGTCGAAAGCATGTTTGCCGTGGTTATGTCGAATTATACTGATCACAAAACATTTATTTACTTTCTTTCGTTTTACTCCGCCACTCATAAATACCCGTGTCCTCCTGCAGCAACCCCGAGGGACAACGGACATCAATAACAACACAGTAAAAAGTCCGACGTGTTGTAAAAACAGCTATTTTTAGCACATTTTAAGTCCGACGTGTTGCTACCAGATGTAAGGTGTGAGCTGAAACGTGAGTACCACAAACGAAAAAGTCGCACAGCATCTGCAGAATATACAGAAATACAGGCTAAAATGCATTATCTTGTAGAGGCTCCGAGTCCGCTTGCAGAAGTGACATTTACAGGTGGATGTTTCCTGGTCAGGTTGCAGCATGGAGGATGTGGTGTTGTGGTAGGCTGGATCCATTTTACAGTATTTACACTGGACTACGTTTTCCGCCTTACGACGTGAAAAATGGTCCCACACCTTTGACATTTTGTGTCTTTTTCGCACTCCACCGGGTCCACGTTGTCTGCCATGGCTTAAGAGAAAGTTAAGTTACGTTCGCTACTCGTGTGTGCATTCAGTGCAGTGTGTATGTGCGTCACTTATTTGTGTCCGGGTGAAACATGACCCCGGGTGATTGCAAAGCCATGAATTAATTAAACATGAATTAAACGAAGCCTCGAGGCAGAGAATTTGACTCGATGATTTTTTGTACACGAATTATTCGAGGTACTCGAGGAATCGTTTCAGCCCTAGATACAAGTGGCCAAAATGAGTTTTCTCTGCTGGTTGGCTGGGCAATCCCTTAAACCTATTGCACACTGGAAGCAAGAGCAGTGCTTTGGAACGGTTTACTCGCGACAACCGCTGCACTGAAGTGCACTCTGGGAGAGTCTCGGCAGTGAGGTGGCTTCTCTGCTGTGCTCCTCACTCGACTCGAAAGATCACACGATCCCTCGAGCCTTCAGGTCACGGTTTGTTTATGCAATCCGCCATTTAAAAGAAATAAATCACGTTTGATATCGTTGTTTGATGTCATATATGACGTTGTTCCACTGCCAGGATTAAAGCCATGAAAACACACTGCTGTACTTCTGGCTTAATGCTGTGAGGATAAGCCGTTAGGTCACACAAAAGCTTTACACACACACACACACACACACACACACACACATATATATATATATATATATATATATATATATATATATATATATATATGAAATTGCATCACTGCAATACTTTATTTTGAAAATTACCAGGGATTTTACACTGAAATTGTGTGTGATTTCCTGTCTAGCCCTATGTCGATTGAGGTAATTGGCACGTCCCAGAGCTCGCGGAAAAACTAGAACCCCATTCCACCTTAGTGGCGTGCCGCTTTAGAAAATTGCCGCGTCGTGGCTGGCTTGTTACACTTCATAGACTATAAAGGATTTTATTTGAAGCGGTGCCGTTCCGTGCCGCTTTTGCTTCCAGTGTGCAGTAGCGGTTAGAGATCGAGCGAGAAGCTCGGAGTAGAGCCGCTGCTCGTTCACATTGAGAGGAGTCAGCTGAGGTGGCTCTGGCATCTGGGTATGATGCCTCCTGGACACATCTCTGGTGAGGTCCAACCAGGAGAAGACTTAAAGACCCCAGGACACGCTGGAGGGACTGTGATTCTCGACTGAAAGGGAATGCCCACGGAGGAGCTGGCCCAAGTGGCTAAGGGGGAGAGAGGGGGTGTTTCTCAGTGTCAAGACGCCTGGCCTCGCAAGGCGTCTTGACACTGAGAACCACCCAGGGAAGTCTGGGTCTCCCTGCTTAGCCTACTGCCTCCACGACCTGACCCCGGATAAGAGGAGGATTGATTTTGATCTAACATTCATCCACTAATACATGCTTCTGGGAGGCATTCATTCATTCATTCATTTAATTTTCAAAACTGTAGTTTAAAGTTTGCAAGATTCTGAGGAACAATTGAACACTTCAAAAATCTGGCTCTGCTCACTGATCCTATTTATGATTTTTAGATTGAAATGATTTTTTGAGGTCATTATTATCATTCCCTTCAGGTCCCTTCATCTTAGCTCTGTTTGTCGCAGATGAGAGAAAGATGGCTTTAAGGTTATGTAACCATAAATAGGGTGTGTGTGTGTGTGTGTGTGTGTGTGTGTGTGTGTGTGTGTGTGTGTGTGTGTGTGTGTGTGTGTGTGTGTGTGTGTGTGTGTGTGTGTGTGTGTGTGTGTGTGTGTGTGTGTGTGTGTGTGTGTGTGTGTGTGTGTGTGTGTGTGTGTGTGATACAAGTGTTCTGGTTCTGATCATTTTGTGCCTGCAGCGTGGAAAACACACTAATGAGTGTGATTTTCTCATCTGTCAGAGGAGAACAGATACAAGTCCAAAGGTAGAGTAGCTTCAAAAAGACAATTGTGGCTGAATAGTGGTGTATTTACTCTGATGCTAAAGACATTTTGTACCTGTAGAGTAATAAATATGTTAAATTACCATAAGTTGTAACTAAAGCCTAGTTTATACCTTTCTGTCAGCAGGTTTACACACACACACACACACACACACACACACACACACACACACACACACACACACACACTTTCCTTTTTTCACATCTGCGTTGTGTCTCTGTGTTGTGAAGCAAAACGGTAGCTTCTAATAAAACCAGAATATTTCAACCAATTACTAAACAAAACTTCACATTTTAACACCTCTCTTTTTCCAACACCCTCTATGTTAGACCTGGAGGAGCTGCTTTCCATCATCCAGGAGGTAAAATATCGTACGGGTCTGCAGTCGGCCAAACTCATACGCCAGCTGAGGAGACGCGACCGGCTTTGCCACAAACAACAGAAGAACTGTGACATCATCACAGCGTGTCTTCAGGCTGTGTCACAAAAACGACGTAAGAAGAAAAATGCATCTCATTTAACGTTTGAGTTACTCACACGGTAAAACGTTCCTTCACATGTTAAAAGTGTCAAACCTTCATAGTAGGGCTGGGCGATATGACCTAACGTCAGTATCACGATATATTGAGGATTTTACCTCGATAACGTTAAATGGACGATAACTGAAGGTATGCGCAGAGACAGACGTTGTCCACTAGATGGGGCTGTCACACGTATTACATTGAGTCGCATTTTTACGTGACTCAAGGCAGTACAGCTTCTTAAAGGGACGTGAATGTTGCCGTCCTATACATCTTTTCATTTTTTTTATTATCTAATTTATTGACATGGAAAAATTATCTCTTAAGAAAGAGTCAGAAATTTCGATAACGATAAATTTTCTATTTATTGCCCAACCCTACTACAGATTTTCTTCTAGCAGAGTTCATGTTTAAACGTTATATTTTACGTTTCCACATGAAGTACAAAAACAGTCTGTACGTATTTACAGTGATCCTTGGCTTTAAACTGAGATGCTCATTTTGGTGCTCTTTTCTTTCCTACTCCTGAAAAATCCATGTCAAAAGAAACTGATAGTGAGGATCGTTGTGTGGGTCTACTGTTATTTTGGTAAAAATGTCAAGAAATTTCTGCTGGATTTCAAATCAAATCAAATCAACTTTATTTATATAGCACTTTTCATGCCAAAAATGCAACTCAAAGTGCTTTACAGATTAAAATGGCCCCATAGATCCCACATTCCCATCCCAGCCCCCCTCCCCAAGTATAAAACAATTAAAAATTACAGTTCCCCTCCCGCACCCAACTTCCAAAGTGGACACACACACACACACACACACACACACACACACACACACACACACACACACACACACACACACACACACACTCGTGAACACCAGAGTAAACAATAGGCTGAGTTCAGATGGGTCAGGTAATGAACGACACATCATCAGCGGAGCCATCTGCCCTGGCAGCAACAGATCCACGGCAGCAGCCAAGACACCGGCCCATGACGCCCAGTGGCATAGGGCAGAAACCCCCACCAGTGCCCGGGCACTACCCGAGGAGCGCCCCGGCCGCCGCTGCCCCTGACCACCGGCCCCAAGGCAGAGGGCTCCGCAGAGGAAACACTGGAGGATTAAAATATATAACATGTAAAATAACAAAAGCTAATAATGATAAAAAGTAACTGATAAAAAGTGATTATAAAGATAGTAAAAGAAAACATAATCATGTAAAAACACTAAGATGTAGATAAAATGATAAAAATAATAAAAGAGATAAATATGTATTTATAGATAAATAGTGATCAGTTAAACGCTAAGCCAAAAAGGTGGGTCTTGAGCCTATTCTTAAAAGCCTGGATGTTTCCTTCGGCCCTGAGGTCCTCCGGCAGCCCGTTCCAAAGGCGAGGGCCGTAGTACTTGAAGGACGCCTCGCCGTGGGTGTGAGTCTTAACTTTAGGGATAACTAGGAGACGGCTGCCAGAGGAGCACAGAGACCGCGAGGGTTTATACAGTAAAAGCAGTTCTGAAAGATAAGAAGGCCCAAGACCATTAAGACACTTAAAAACCATTAAAAGAACCTTAAAATCAATCCTGAAACATACGGGGAGCCAGTGCAGTGATTTTAAAACCGGAGTGATGTGCTCCCGCTTCCTGGTCTTCATCAGGACACGTGCTGCTGAGTTTTGTAAGACTTGTAAACCTGAGATGCTCTTTTTGGGAAGACCAGAAAGCAGGGCATTGCAGTAATCAATCCTACTGGTTACAAAAGCATGCACTAGCGTCTCCGTATTGGCCCGAGAGAGAATGGGTCGGACTCTAGCGATATTCTTAAGATGGTAAAAACCTATTTTTGTGATGTTTTTAATGTGTGGGATAAAAGTCAGCTCAGAGTCGAAAATAACACCCAGATTCTTCACTTGTAGTGATGGATAAAAAGACATTGATTGTAGTTTAGGTAAAAGTTTCTCTCTCTGGGCCTCAGGACCGATGACTAAAACTTCAGTTTTGCCCTGGTTGAGCTGGAGAAAGTTTTCAGTCATCCATGATTTAATATCTAAAATGCAATTAAAAAGTGTTTCCATTGGCTGTGCGTCATCAGGAGACACGGAGATGTACAACTGTGTATCATCAGCGTAACTGTGGAAATTCACCCCATGTCTCCTGATGACGTTGCCCAGAGGGAGCATATAGAGGTTAAAGAGCACTGGGCCTAGAATTGATCCCTGAGGCACCCCGCATGTGATGCTGTGGACCCCAGAGGAACAGGTATCCAAACTCACCATAAAAGTCCTGTCTGTGAGGTAGGAAGTAAACCAACTGTGAACAACACCAGAGAGGCCGATCTGTTTTAAACGGGTTAAAAGAATAGTGTGGTGTACTGTATCAAAGGCAGCGCTTAGATCCAGCAGAACCAACACTGTTGCCCTCCGAGCATCATAATTTGTTCTAAAATCATTTAAAATCTTCAGAAGGGCCATCTCAGTGCTGTGGTTCACCCTAAAACCAGATTGAAATTTCTCTAGGACATGTTGGTGGTTGATGAAATCATTAAGTTGTATTAAAACAAGCTTCTCTAAAATTTTGCTTAAAAATGGTAAGTTGGATACCGGTCGGAAATTGTTAAAGTCATTAAAATCTAAATTGCTCTTCTTCAACAGGGGTCTGACCACCGCCTGATTAAAAGCAGCAGGAAAGACCCCCGTCTGAAGGGAACAGTTCATCAACCTTTGACCTCTCAGTGCACCCAAAGAACTACGTCTTGCTGCTGGTGGCGATATTTACACATTAACCCTTTAAGACCTGCCATAGAACAAATTCGCCACAACTAAAATTTACATTTTTACATGCTGTGGTGCCATTTTCTGGAGTATTTCAACCAGCAATACATCCCTTACATTCTAAATATATGTATATATATATATATATATATATATATATATATATATATATATATATATATATATATATATATATATATATATAATGTTCATAGCAACAACATATTTTACTAAAAAATGCAATTACCGTATCCATACAGAAATGGAAAATCGTGTTTTGTTTTTACACATTTTTCATTATACAGAAATGCCACGCCTTTATCCCTCAAAACTGTCAACAAAAAAAAATGTGCACACAATCCTGTCAAACAACACATTTATTCGAAGTGCTTCCATAAATTAGTTTCTGAGATACACTCATTTATATAAACTGTAACAAAACAAAAACGTAAATAATAATAATCAGCAGGAGTCTAAAATAATCATGTTGAATATTTGTAGCTCATTTTTCTGTAGTACATCATTTTCCTTTTCTCTCACTAATGATAACAATAATAAACAATATTGCATGAATAAATACGTGAGGAAACAGAAACAGGATCTTAAACATCATCTGGTGCTGTAATGGCGTCAACCACTTTGAGGAGGGAGGGGGTGTTTCTCAATGCCAAGGAACCTCACCTTGATGTCTTGGCCCCGCCCCGGTTGCCCAGGAGATACATCATCAGGAGCCGCCAAGACGAGTTCCAATGTCCATGTTCTACCGAGGCGTGTGTTCTCTTTTTGTTAGCCGTTTAGCTAGCTGAGCGAGGATACACGGTAGGTGTCTAGTAGCCTAGCCTTGGTCAAAAATTACCCAGAATGCACCGCGGTATTTTCAAAAGGACGGCGGATCAGAAGCCGGCAGCTACTTCGGGGACAATTTTCAAGTTTAAAAGTAAGTCAACTAATTAAAAATTTTTTTTAGATCCAAAGAAGTTATCTATGGTTGGTTAGTAGCTTAGTAGTTGCAGCTTCGGTGGCTAGCGGGTAGTAACTCACTCACATATGTAATTTAATAAACATATACACAATTTAAAAAGTAAAATCCTCATTATATATTTATATTGAAACTAATACGTATAAAATATAACGTTATCTCCCGTGTCACGTGATGCAAGTCTGTTCCATTTAACCGTTTTCTTTAACCAAGGAAGGACCGTGTCCTCGTAAGCAAGGCGCTTGGCCTTGCAAGGCCAGGCATTTAATTTTTCTTGGCGTCTGGAAACACATCTCCTTCTGCCCCCCTTTATTTGACTTTCTGCCCCCTTTATTTTGGCCCAACACCATTACTGGGCTGGCCCTGTTAAACACCTTCTACACCCCTGCTTAGTAGACTTAATGAAGTATTTTTAAGCCAGTATAAAAATGACTGAAACACAAATTTACATATTTGGCATTACTGACCAATATCTTTGATTTAATTTATTTAAGAACATCAAGATGCATTACAGTGAACATTATAATAAAGTACATGTATCTAGTGCAGAGAGGAGACAACCCATAGAAGCACTGATTTGATCTCATTTCAGAGAAAAATAGCACAGGTCAGATACACCTGATAAATAAAATGACTAACAAACTCAGGAATCTGTTTCTTTGCTTCATTGTTCTGGTGCTGAAAACATCATTAATGCGGATCAAAGGACATACACAGATGAGTTCAAATTATTTTAAAAAACCTGACTGGAGCGGAGGCAGTGACCGACGCAGCACGAGCCGTTTTCTGCTCTGTCTTGTCAAATGTACGTTACAAAAAAAGTAACTTTAAATATTCGACTGAAAAAGAGGCGAGCTGAAGAAAACCTAGGAGGTTCTGAAGAAACGTGAGCAACAGTGAAGCAAGCACAGAGATCCGTTACTGTCTATGTGTGTGTGTGTGTGTGTGTGCATGGGGCGGATCAGAGTTTAGTGTGTAGAAAGGGGCGGGCGCTCTGTGTGACTGGCCAATCACAGAGCGTGAAGACAGTCAGTCTTTACTCGTTTCATGCTCGCACTCGTCAAGAATGCTTTATCCGCGGCTCATCCCTAGCTCTAAGCACCCTGCCCTGCCTCCTCCTCCTTGCTGCCTGCCAGCTGTGATCACAAACAACAACAGAGTAGTTCCAGTTGCTTCTTCGGGAAACGGCGCAAAAATAAAAAAATAAAATAAAGTAAAACATCTATATAACGGGATCTTGCAGGCGTGGCGCTGGGATTTCAGCCGTGGCGTGCCGCCGCGGCTACGCCTATGTAAGGGAAACACTGCCTCTGTACGTCTTCATCAGAGTTCTTCTTTAGTTATGTAGAATAAGTCGCTATAGGAAATGTATCTGAGTCTTTTCAAGACTGCACACATTGTTCTTGGCTGCTCAAACTAGACATCCCATGGATGGAAGAAAAAGCTATTTCTCTGAACAGAGGCTGTTCAGGAGGCGCCATACTACAGGTAAGATGTAGAATAATAATGTGCTCCATCAAACATCAAAGTACTTTTTATAAAAATGTAAGGTAAGGTTTTTACCACAGTTATTGGTAAAAACCAGCTTTTCCAATACCATTTTCTCTGTTTTTGAAAGCTTTGTGTATCCTAATGATCCTCCATTTTTAGTGCAACTGTCTCCCACTTTCCTCAGAGGAAGTAAACAACTTTTATCCAGACGATCATTTTAACATGAACTGATTCCGTTTTTCATTACACAACATGAGATTACCGGTGAGAAGGGAACAAAAATCCCTCCGTTTTCATTCCTCCTCTCCACCATTACCTCATCCTTCTCTCCGTCCTACCGCAGCCCTCCGTCCTCGCACCTCCTCTTGGTGACGACAAACCGGAGGAGGATGCGGAGGTGCAGCATCGGCAGCAGGATTACTTCCATCCTCCATCCATCGCATATTTTTCACCTTTTCTAATTTTATTATAAATAAGCTTTTGGGGAGAATCTGTCGGTGTGCTGTTAGAAGTCGGACCAGACCAGAAAACGTCGGTTTAATAATCATTTCTGAAGGCCTCCATCTTGGAGGAGGCTCTGCCTGCCTCCTTTCTAACAAAACCGCGAAGAAGAGCGATGAGTTGACTGTCCGGGGAGCGACCCCATACCGCCGGCATGAGGCAGGAGCGCCTGGCGGCCGCCGGCAGGAGGCCGAGGAGGAGCGACAAGCAGCGGCAGCAGGGCTCGGGAGGGGTCGGGAACATCATCAGTAACGTCCTGAAGAAACGGAACGGGATATCCAGGAGCGCACCGCGGCTGCTCTGCACCCTAGAGCCAGGTGACGCAGCTGGACCCGCAACCCCGAGCCTGCCCCGCAGCAGCATGGCTGTTTATTTATAGGAGCTTTCTTTTTCATATAGCTAACGTCATTTTGTCAGAATTTGTTCCTTAAATAACATTTAACCAATAGGAAGTGCAACTTATTAATTGGTTAGCCTATTGTGACATTTTGCGTCAATAAATAAATCTGCGTGGATCCGAATTTCTGCGGTAAATGAAACGCTCCCTCAGCTTCATGAGTTTCGGTCATCACTTTTATTCACAAACATTTAGATTTCCCGAAAACAAGTTACTTGTGGAGTGTGCTTCTCCTCATAATAATAATAATAATAATAATAGTTGTTGTTCTTCTGGCCGCGTCTGTGACCGACTTTGTGACTCTAATCTAAAAGCGCGTTTTCCCGTGTCGGACTATAATCTGGAACAGGGAAGTAGGAGGGTTTTGCGCGTTAATCCTCTCCTGAATCCCTGAGCGGAAACCGCACAACGAGCAGAATGGCGCATGGGAAAAGCACCGACCCGGACCGAGCAGGTTAAACACGCTTCTCTCTGCTGTTGTCAGGAGAAACCTCGATTCGGATTCAGAGCGGTGATGGGAACAGGCAGAGGAGATGAGCTCAGACGCGACATGTTCCGTCTTAACTCCAAATAAAATTCTCATTTCCGTTCGGTCTCTAAAGAGGGTTTAGTCTGCAGCAGCAAATGTTCTTGTTGAAGGATTTTAAAAACGATTGAACCGCGGATTCAGCACCACCAGGAGAAGGACAGCGATTCTTGGCACAAATCCATCAAAATGAGCTTAAGTCTCTGGTTGGTCGCATATAACCAAAGGGATCACGGGTGTAAGGCATGCACCTGTATCACCCATGCCTCTGCCTTAACCAGGTGTTCCTGTTTGCTTTCAGGAGTTGACACAAGGCTGAAGTTCACCATTGAACCGTCATTCGGGAAGAATGGCTTCCAGCAGGTGAGTGCACCTTCAAATAAATGGATGAGTGGATAAAAAAAGTCTTGAATTCAATTCAGTGGCAAAAAAATAAATAAATTTATTTAATTCTGAAGAAACTACTCTACATCCAACACTCTTCAACATTATAAACCAGTATAAGGAAAGCCATGAGCTAAAATAAAATCAACTCCATCAATTATCCTGAAAATGTTTCAGGATAATTGATGGAAAATTAGTTTAAAATCATCCAAAAAGCTCCTTAAAGCTTAAGTAAGTAAGACTTATTTTAAAATCTAACAAAGTCTGGCTGGCTGTTAACATTGTCTGAATGAGTCTAGGAATATTTAAAGGGACGTTATGGAAGTGTGACAGCCAAAACATGTATAGAAATAATAAAAGTCTTCTTCATACGTTCTCCTGCAATGCCCTGGTCCTGTAGAATGAGCCCTGGCATTTTTACTGTGATTGCCTGTTTTTCTGTAAAATCACAGAAAAAGAGAGATGCTCGGGTCGAGCAGGCTGCTTCATGCACGTTCACGCTCAGGCATCGCCCGTAGCATTTGCTATCCGTAGCTTTAGCAGCAGAGAGAGAGGCAGTGCCACTTTGTCGCTGTTCCTAACGCCTAGTGACAAAGCTAGCTACATTTCTGAGGACCCTTAGCTACTTTCTGTAGAACTTTCTTCTAGATATTTCCTGCAAATTAGCAACAAAATAGCCATTTTCACTCCGAACCGTTCTTTGAACGTTGTTTCAGCTGTCATCAAGGATATAAATGTTACAGATGCTGTGGATGTTACTAGAGTGTAGCTCACCTTGTAAGACGTTGGATTCTCATGCAGAAGACCTGGGTTTGATTCTGGATGTGACCATAGTTTATTTAGAGTTTCTTTTTTACATTAATGGTATATTTTTTACAGTAAGATGCCCAAATTTTTATTTGAGACTCGCCGAACGGCATTGAATTCACAGATAAAAAAGATGTGGGTTCAACTTTCATTTTGGAACAATTTTTCAAGCAAGGGAAGGGAATGATCTGAGCATGCAGGAGGACTGACCCATCATAAACCTTTGTCGCTGTGCTGAAGAGAAAGCTACAGAACCACATTATTTAATTAATTAGCTGCGCATTCTCCTGTCCTCTGTCCTCCGGGCCACACACACACACACACACACACACACACACACACGACTGTCTCGGCTGTTATTTTCGTTAAGGCGTGTGCACGTACAGCATGCGCGCCTCGTGCACGAGCCTACTATTGAAGCTGCTGTAACGCTTTTGGCCTGAGGGGGCAATCGCGAGCATAAAAATTCAAAACTCCGTGAAGTCCCTTTAATAATCCCGATTTTCTTTTTTAATAGTGGTATGATGCCCTCAAAGCTGTAGCCAGGCTTCCTACTGGGATCCCAAGGGAATGGAGAAAGAGGGTACGACCGACAGATCACCATCTTATTCATGTATCCTGTTTCAGTTTGCCTGGTGTTTTTCCTCGCCGTGTGGATGAGTGTAGACCTCATTTACGTCTGTACTATTCAGGTTTGGCTAACACTAGCAGACCAGTACCTCCACACCATCTCTATCGACTGGGAGAAAACGCTTCGCTTTGCCTTTAATGAGCGCAGCAACCCAGACGACGACTCCCTCGGCATTCAGATTGTCAAGGTAACCAGGTTTTACTTGCATGATGTGGGCTGGGGATGAAACAGATGTGTGTTTGGTAAACTAAACTGAGCATTTTTGAGTCAGTGGGACTAAAGTTTGGGCTTTGTTGAAGATTTCTTTTTACTTTCGACTGGTCTCAAGTCCAAATCATCAGCTCAAACCTTAAAATTTAAGACTTGGTCCATTTTCAGCAGCACGTTAATCCCACAGATTACAGTGAAATCCTTCAATGTGCAGTAAAGTCAGTAAATCTGTACCAGTCATAATTTGTTTGAGTTTAGATTTGAGAATTCGGGGAAAAGAAATGTAAAAAATGTCTGAGCACATCCTCCTGCCAGAGGACATTCTGTCCCCTGTGAGCTGATCCACCTGTGAATAACAATGCTGAGTAGATGTTTGCTTTAGTGCATCAGAGAACAGGACGGATGCGTCATGGAAACCATGCAGTGACTCAGAGACCCAGCAAACACGGTTCCTACCAATAACAGGGCAAAGTCTGGTCACCCTCCTTGTCTTCATTCGCTTGCCTAATGCCTTAGGTGTCTGTAATCCTCAGGACCTGCACCGGACAGGCTGCAGTTCCTACTGTGGCCAGGAGGGGGAGCAGGACAGGGTGGTGCTGAAGCGGGTGCTGCTGGCCTACGCCCGCTGGAATAAAAGCATAGGTTACTGTCAAGGATTCAACGTACTGGCTGCTCTGATCCTAGAGGTCACGGAAGGCAGCGAGAGCGACGCTCTGAAGGTCTGAAGCTCCACGACAATCGGATCATTTCACTTAATCAGCGCCTGACCTCTGTTCTGTGTTCAGGTGATGATCTATCTGATCGACAAGGTGCTGCCCGACAGTTATTTTGCAAACAATCTGCGTGCTTTATCAGGTGAACACTGATCTACACACAAGCACACAGTTTAGTGCATCTGTAAACAAGAACTCGGACCTTCTCTAGCAGCGTTTTGTAGCTGAAGGTGCTCAGATTTACATGTAACCCTGTCAAATGTTCAAATAGCTCCTTAGTTGCCTTCTTCAACGTCTAAGCTCTTGTGTCTCCAGTTATCATCAAAGATTGTTTTATATTTGCAGACAGGTGATATCCACACGCAATACTTATTAATGCGTTATCTAAGAAGCACGCCCATGCCCTAACTTGTGACGTTTGTCCTCAGTGGACATGGCCGTGTTCAGAGATCTGCTGCGTCTGAAGCTGCCCCGACTGTCTCATCACCTCCATCACCTTCAGAAAGCAGCCAACTGGGAAGCAGGAGGTACCTGTCTGTCTGTCTGTCTGTCTGTCTGTCTGTCTGTCTGTCTGAATCGCACTAACGTTGTGTCTTGTGCTTTCCAGGCAGCTACGAGCCGCCTCTGACCAACGTCTTCACTATGCAGTGGTTTCTGACCATGTTTGCCACCTGCCTGCCGGCACCCACCGTCCTGAAGATCTGGGACTCTGTTTTCTTCGAGGGTTCAGAGATTCTGTTTCGGGTCGCTCTCGCCATCTGGGAGAGGCTGGGAGAGTGAGTGAAACCTTGATTTACTTAATCCCTCAATGTCTACTGTGGCCATGGCCACCCCTAGAAGAGTGCTGGCCCCCCCAGCAAAAGCCAGTGTTAATAAAGTGTTGGGAGTAACGCGGTACAAAAGTAATTAATTACTGTAATGCATTGCTTTTTGCTGTAATGTGGTAATGTAAGGCATTACGGAGAAAGAAAATGGTAATATTTACTCTGTACAGTTGTCAGTAACGCGGTAATTACAATGCATTTTTAAACCCAGAATCAAGATGTGTTCCTTAAAAATTCAAATTGTGTGTAGCGCCAGTGCCCTATACACTGGCACTACCTGGTAGCTGTTGCGGGTGGTCTTTACGTGTGCTTTAAGAAATGCAGCTTGAGTTTATTTCTGATGATGTTTATTACTTGTCTTGTTCCAGAATGTCCAGGATCCAGCAGTTAAATTGGTTTCAGTGAATGCGTTACTTGCCCCAATGACAGTCTGCAGAGTCCGTTACACACAGCCACAGTCCTCGCCACACAGTAAAAAACTGTTTGTCCCATCCAGCCACACCTGAGTCCAATCTGTGTTGGCTTAAGTAGGCTGGTGCTTCCACAAGCAATTAACCAATAACACGAGGCCAAGCCTCCTCTCAAGTGCACAAAAAGAAATGACACATATGGCTCCTACATTGTGGGAAACCCGAAAAAAGATCCAGTATCTGCATATATTACGTAATTTATGGACTCAGCTTTGCGGGCAGAGAGGACGCAGCGGTAACGGCTCAGCTGCACGCGGCCGCTGCAACATTCACAAAATCGCTCCACTAAAACAAAAATAATTCACTTGCGATCGTTCATATCAGCGCATGCTCTCTGGTATTTTGTGCTTTTCTGACGTGCTTTGCCTCAGCTGAGTTCATAATCTGTGCCCCGGTGATTTCAACTCATTACTGCTGGAGCGCCGCGCACGTGAAGATCCCTTTGGCTGATCGTTAGAAAGCAGGAAGTCTAGGAAACAGTTTTTTCTGGAAGACAGAGAGAACATGCAGCATGCAAGAAGGTTAGAGAGAGAAAGGGCCGGAAATTATTCAAATAAAATCAAGAAAACAAAACAAAGTGCTTGAATAGAAAAAAAATTAGGTAGATTTATCCCCAATACACATGTTTACCAGTGAAAAGCAATAATATATAAGCATTTAATATTTATACATGTGATAGAATCAGATCACCCCAGAAGTCAGTCCCACATCCAGGGCCGTATCAAGGCATTTGGGGTCCAAGGCAAATATAGGCTTGGAGCCCCCACCACCTCACTCCCTGCTCAGTTAATCCAAGATGGCAGCGTGCTGAGAGTACAGAGTACAGTTTTTATTTAATAAACAATCATTTTAAAGCACTGTTATTATATCTGACTGTTTTTAACAGCAATCCTAGCTCAGACACCACATCACCTTCCACCGGATGTGTCATGAGTTCACCGGGCATCAGATTACCAAACTCATACTGAAGTTGTTTTGTTGAAAGTAACTTAGAGTAATGCTAAAGTAGTGTAATGCCTTACATTTTAAAATCAGTAATATTGTAATGTAATGAATTACTTTAAAATGGGGGTAACAAGTAATAAATAATGCATTACAGTTTTGAAGTAACTTGCCCAACACTGTTAAATGATATTATTGTTCGCTCAAACTATAAACTGATCTTATTTATTCAAGACATAGTTGTAAAACAAAATAAAAATAGTGCAATTAATGAGTAAAGAAATAATTAGAATAAAAAAAGTACACATGTTTCTGCTGCTTACCATTAAAAAAGTGTTTTATCTCCATAGTTTTTGTGAACTAATGGTGGATTAATGTAAAAAAAAATGCATTTTAAAATAAAATAAAAAATAACTTTAAATAACTGAAATGTTTGTGTTTGTAAAATTTAAGTAAATGTTTTGGAGTATTACTGTTTTTTTTTAATAAAAACGAGTAAAGGAGCAATGCAACACATCTTCACAGGCTAAACGCTCCCAGAGTTACCACAAGGACTAATCAGGTGTGCCACCCCAAAAATTTCTTTGGCCCCGTCTGGCCCCCCTTATCAAAATTTCCTGGAGGCACCCCTGGCTGGAGATTCTAGCGTTTGATCAAATATTTTTCAGAAAAAAATCAGGCATTAATGTTGATCTGAGCCCTAACTGGTAATGCTGGTGAAAGGTGAACCGAGCATCAGTTTCACCACCAACGTACACAACTTAGATTTTTCTTCTACCTTTATTTAGGAGGATTGAATACTGCCAGACAGCAGACGAGTTCTACAGCACCATGGGCTGTCTCACCCAGGAGATGCTGGAGCACAACCTCATCGACCCAACAGAACTCATGCAGGTACGGAGTTGAAGTCCCCTGCAGCAGTAATGCACCTGTGGATGAGGATGTTGTCCCACCTCCCTCCTTTGCTTCCAGGAGGTCTACTCCATGGCTGTGTTTCCTTTCCCCCAGCTGGCTGAGCTGAGAGAGAAGTACACCTACAACATCACGCCGTTTCCCACCTCAGTCAAGTCCAATGGAAGGTTTGTCCCAAACACAGACATTTAACACTCTTCTGTTAAAAGCTAGTGATGGTAAAGACGAGTTTCCTTCTTCCAGCGGGGGTCAGGGCAGCTGGGAGAGTGATGATGACGTCAACATGGATGATGAAGACGCTGTAGCGACGGCGTTTGGCTGCCTGGGGCCTTTAGGGGGCCTGTTGGCTCCTGAGCTGCAGAGATACCACAAACATCTAAAAGGTTGGCACGCCTACAAGAAATACTCCAACAGATTCAAGTGGACCCTTAGGGAGGGGGACCGGCAGCCTAAGTCCTTGTGTTCTGGCCTTGATTTTAGTCCAGATCCCACTCCCTCCTTTAATGACTCGTAGAAACACATCACACTTTAGAGATTTGATTTGGTTCAAGGACGATGTAAGTTTTGTAGTTTACAGTCAAACAACGCTGCTGGGGTCAAATTCATCTTAAAACTTTATTCTGTGCCTTTTTCTGGTGTCAAACGTTCACGTGACCCAGTTCTGTTCAGTCAGTTAAAGACTGCTGTTTAGATTGGTGATCAGCTGATCTGGATTAAAGCGGATCTTGGAGGAAGAGAATCAGCAAACAGGCTCTACAAATCCTTAAAAAGGCACATGGGAGCAGTCTGATGTGGAGCGTTAAGCGTGTCTCCAAACATTTCCACCCATCTTTGTTTTTTAATAGAGTATTATTAAAAAATCCAAGATTGTAGAAATTAAAGAATTAGATGTTATCTTGTCTGAAACATAACCAGTCTTCTTCTTCTTTCTTCTTCTTCTTCTTCTTTCTCCTTCTTCTTCTTTATTCTTTTTTCTTTTTCTTTTTTCTTTCTTTGTTCTTTTTTCTGTTATTTTTTCTTTGTTTATTCTTTTTCTTTCTTTGTTTTTTCTTTTCTTTTTTCTTTTTCTTTCTTTGTTCTTGTTTTTATTCTTCTTTCTTCTTTTTCTTTCTTTGTTCTTGTTTTTATTCTTTTTTCTTCTTTTTTCTTTTTCTTTCTTTGTTCTTTGTTCTGTTTTCTTTTTCTTTCTTTGTTCTTCTTTTTATTCATCTTCTTTTTTCTATTTCTTTCTGTGTTCTTTTTCTGTTTTCTTTTTCTTTCTTTGTTCTTTTCATTCTTCTTCATTTTCTTCATTCTTTCTTCTTCTTTTTCTTCTATTTTATTTTTCATTCTCTGTTCTTATTTTTCTTTTTCTTCTTTTTTCTTTGTTTTTTCTTTTTCTTTCTTTGTTCTTTTTCTTCTTTTTTCTCCTTCTTTTTTCTTTTTCTTTCTTTGTTCTTTTTATTCTTCATTTTCTTCATTCTTCTTCTTTCTCCTTCTTTCTTCTTCTTCTTTTTCTTCTTTCTGCTTTTTTCTTTTTTCTTTCTTCTCTGTTCTTCTTTGTTAATTCTTTTTTCTTTTTCTTTCTTTCTTCTTTTTTCTGTTCTTTTCTCTTTTTCTTTCTTTGTTCTTTTTATTCTTCATTTTCTTCATTGTTTTTTATTTTTCTTTCTTTGTTCTTTTTTCTGTTCTTTTTTCTTTTTCTTTCTTTGTTCTTTTCATTCTTCTTCATTTTCTTCATTCTTTTTTATTTTTCTTTCTTTGTTCTTTTTCTGTTCTTTTTTCTTTTTCTTTCTTGTTCTTTTCATTCTTCTTCATTTTCTTCATTCTTCTTTTTCTTCTATTTTATTCTTCATTCTTCTCTGTTCTTCTTATTTTTCTTTTTCTTCTTTTTTCTGTTCTTCTTTTTCTTCTTCTTCTTTGTTCTTCTTTTTTCTTTTTCTTTCTTTGTTCTTTTTTCTGTTCTTTTTTCTTTTTCTTTCTTTGTTCTTTTTATTCTTCATTTTCTTCATTCTTTCATCTTGTTTTTCTTCTGTTTTATTCTTCATTCTTCTCTGTTCTTCTTTCATCTTTTTTCTGTTTTCTTCTTCTTCTTTCTTTTCTTTATTCTTCTTTTTCTTTCTTCTTATTCTTTATTCTTATTCCAGACCAGCGAGCAGAGCAAGGAAGCATAGCTGAGCTGAGTCCAGGAGCAGTAGGAGCTGGAATGGGAGGAGGAGGTGGTGCTAAATCAGAGCACCAGGCTGCCATCAACAGCATGATGATGGAGAGGATGAGCACTGACATCACTGCACTGACAAAGCAATATGCACGAATCAAGAGGCGGCAGCAGCAGCAGGCTATGCAGCTCTACATCCGCACAGGTAAAAGCTGATCAGGGTCAAATTATTAATACTTTTGAAACAGGATATGGGTTCAGCTCTAGGGGTGCACCCAAAGTTCGGCCACTAAAAGGTTTCGGCCGAAAATGACCCAAAATTACCGAAACACCTAAATCACAGAAACAACACAGCCAAAACAGGCCGTCAGGCGAACCCCGTTTTCATTTTGGTGGTGGTGGTGGTGGGGGGGGGGCGTGCACGAGTGGGGTCAAGTGAAACATAAATGTGTTCATGGTTTGTAGTTGGTTCATTGCAATGCCTTGATGTTAGTGAGGTTTTACACATCGTAGCCACCGTGGTTCTGATTACTGACATGATTGTTTCTTTCTGTGTTCCACGTTTTTGGCCTCGGTTTCGCCATTTTTGGTTTCAGCCATAATGTGCTGGAGAAGCTGAGAGACTTTTAAATCCAGATGTGTGATGATGATGCTGTATGACTCGTAGGACCTGGACCTGAAGCGTTCACAAGTTTCACTCAGTTTTTGTTTTATGAAGGAAAGTGCTCTGCGGTGTCGGGTGTTTCTAGTCATAATTAGCTTTTGCTGATGATCTCCGCTGTCCTGCTTAAACAGAGTCTGAATCTTCCAGCAGCTCCTCCCGTCTTCCTCTAATCTGAGATCACAGCGACCGTTTCCTACATCTGTTTACACATCAAACATTCTCTCCAATAACTAATCGGTTATATATTGTGTTTACGTTGTTTACTTACTGGTGAATCTCAATCTCCTCTATCGACGCTCTTCTTTGTCTGGATTCGGGTTTCCATTTTAAACCAGCATCTCACTATTCTAGTGAACTAGACCAAATTCTTGCTTTGCAAACTTTGGTCTAGGAGCGCTCCATCTGCAGCCCCTAGCTGGCCAATCACAGCTCTCCAGAGGGGTTTCAAACGCATAGAGAGCAGTGATTGGTCCACAATGGTGGGCCAATCTCTGTGCTTTATCTGTTTTGTGGACTAATCACAGTGCTTTATCTACCTTGTGGGCCAATCGGGGCCCTCTATCCGTCTGGTGGGTGGGCTGAGTGGCGACAGATCGTTTCAAATGGCTTTTACATCAATTTTGGACTCTTTGGACTTGAGCTTTAATAGAATCAGGAGCAGATAGATGCGTTTGAGTTATTTTTAGAAAAAAAGAATGCATTTTTGCCTCCTTCAACAGCGGACTGCCTCGTTTACGATATCCGTTGTGGTGAGTACGCCTCATTGTTTGTTGTCCAGTAGCGTGCGGAGATCGATTGAAAGACAACGGTAGAACCCGCCCCACGACAGAGAGCCGTCAGTGGAGCGTTGCCAGGCCAGGCTAGCATCTCACGGCATTCCTAAGGACGTTTCAAAAACATCTCAAAATGCTTGCGAGAGTTTCAGATGTCCTCGTGAGTTGCAGGATTGTACCTGCCCCCCCCCCCCCCCCCCCCCAGAATAACCACAGAAACTAAACGGAGAGTTGTTCCAGGCGCCTGCAGCAACTTTGGGAAAACTAATATTATTTTAAACGTGTGAGAAGTGCAGCAACACCAGAGGCAGGCCTTTTGGGGAAATGAGACCGTTTCCAGACATTTTAGAAACTCCTTTGGGATTAACGTTCCTACTTTATCACCATGTAGTGAAGATAATCTGCATACTAGAATTAACGCTGTTTGCCGTCAGCTTTAGTAGATCCTGAGAAAAGACCAGGCACATTAGCATATGAAGCTTATATCATGTATAAATATCCAGGATATTTATACAGTCGATAGAAGTTCATACACCAGCCTGCTTGGTCTATGTTTAATCCAAAGATAAATTTTTAATTTAAGATAATTAAATTAATAGCAAAAGTTATTTATTGAATCAGAAGCTTAAAGGAATCTTTGCTTATTCAATAACCAAATATACAATTCAATTCAAGATTATTTATAAAGCGCCAAATCACGACAAGAGTCGTCTCAAGGCACTTCACATAATAAACATTCACAGTTCATTAAGTTAATCAGAAATGATGTTTCCTGTATAAGGAACCCAGCAAATTGCATCGAGTCACTGACTAGTGTCAGAGTCTTTACAGCAATCCTCATACTAAGCAAGCATGCAGCGACAGTGGAGAGGAAAACTCCCTTTTAACAGGAAGAAACCTCCAGAGAATCCTGGTTCAGCATAAGCAGCCATCCTCCACGACTCACTGGGGATGGAGAAGACAGAGCAGACACACACACACACGCACACACACACACACGCACGCACACACACACACACACCAAGATTTGCATTCATGTCGCTACAACCATCATGAGTTAGTGGTTTAAAACCCCTTAGGCGCTTAATAAATTTCTCTCTTCCATCTTCTTTTATTTCTACAGACAAATGTCCCGCCACGCGTATCCTGGCCTCCCAGCTCAACCCTTCCAGCTCCGTCATCAACCACCTCCTCCTGGGCCAGAAACCGCGCAGTGGCTCCCGAAGCTGCAGGTCCATGTCAGCCAGCACCTCCTCACTCCCAGGATCCAGATCTGTCCCTCTGTCCAACGCGGCGTTGTCTCCGTCCAGGCAGCGCTGCGGCTCGCCGCTCTTCAACAGCACCGGGTCTCCTGGGAGTTCCAGAGGAGGAGCAGGGTCTCCGTGGAGGGCTCACGTCCGACAGCATCGGAGAAACGTGGCGAGGGCCAGAGCGCAGCTGGGGTTCGGAGACTCTGAAGAAAGGGAAGATGATGAGGAGAAGGAAGAGGAAGGAGAATCGTTAAGGTTGGAGGAGGAGGAGGACAGAAGGAAACAGGATGAAGAAGGGAGTAACTCCTCGGTAGCTCCAGATGCTTGTGATGGAAGTTCTGTCTGTGAGGAGGCTCCTCAGCGTTCAGGCGGAGCTGAGGTGGACGTTGAGGAGGTGGTGGTACAGCTGGACTCCTTGGATCTGGAAGCAGAGCAGACTTCTACCAACAAGGCGGATTCAGAGCAGGAGCTAACGGAGAGTACATCTGCTGTTCCGATTCCTCTCCTCCTCCCTCCTCCTCTACCCTCCTGCTCCTCCTCCTCACACGAGTCTGAATCTTTAGCTCAGACCCACTCTGAGTCTGACATAAGCTCTCCTCCTGTTTCTCCACCTCCTCCAAACAGTTCATCCTCACCAAGTCAATCCCCCTCTCCTGCTCCTCCTTCCTCACCGACCTCCACCCTTTCACCAAGCTGCACCTCCCCTCTCCCATCTTCTTCATCAGCCAGTGCTTTATCAGCTCTCCCTCCTCCTTCCTCCTCTGCCCTAAACAAAACCCCCTCCACCCCCTCCCTCTGCTCCGTCTCTTCCTCTAGATCTAATCTCTCCTCCCCATCGACGCCGGCGGTCTCGTCCTCCACCCCGAAGAGTCACATCTTCTCCCCGTTCCCTTTAGTAAAGCCGCCCAGGAAGTCTCTGGCAGCCAGAAACCTCGGCCTTTACGGGCCCACGTCCAGGATGCCCACCATCCACTTCCCTCAGCTCAGCCGCAACCTCAACCGCAGCAGCGCTGTCGCCGAGGTGACGGGGAGGCGGTGAGAACCGGAACAGACCCAGAGACTAGCGCCACACCATATTGCCTGCTGCCTTTTGAGCAAACATCCCGTAAGTTATCTGACGGAGGGAGAAACTCGATCTCAGATAAAGAGCTCGTTAATCCTTCGACTTACAAGCCATCACAGACGACCTTTAAAGATGGTCGCTTTAAAATGTGAAGGAGTTTTTGTGTTCTGGGTTTGGACCACGCATCGGAGCCAGTAGGGGCAGTAACGAGCCCGTTGCCATAAAGGTCTCACTGAGACGTCGGTGTTTTCCTGCTGCTTGTGTGGTGCTTCGCAGGACGCCGTAAAACACGCAGATCTGGCTCTAAAACACTCGAGTCTGAAAGTTTCTGAAGTACGTTGTTGGTCTGCTCGCTCTAAAGCCATACAGCTGTTCCTATGCCAAGAACTCACACATAATGGATGCCTGAGAGGCTCTTCTAGCAAACAAGACTGTTCACAAACCCGCCAACTGCAATGATGTCCTGAAGCGCTTCGCTTCTTTTTTCCTTTAATAAAACCATTCTGACAAACTGGAAACGAAGAACGTAACGACTCCGTAACGAGGAATGTGTGATTGGGAATGGGATGAGCAGGAATGGTTTTGTCTCTGTGTGTCCTCATGATGGAAGTGAAACAGAAAAATATCACATTAAAATATTATTTCATTCTGAAACTGGTCCGTTGACTTCATGGGTTAAAAATCTGAAGTATTGTCAACAGCAAAATGTAAAAATGGATCAAAATGGTCTCAAACCACCAAATGGTTCCCGAGCGCAGCCACTGCTGCAGCTCACCGCTCCCCACAGGGATGGGTCAGAGGCGGAGATGTCATTTCACAAGTGTGACGATGAGCAACGACACTAGGATTAAAAAAACACCAAACTCTTAATCTTAACATTTCATAAAATAGATAATTTATCCTAAAGCATAACCAGTTTTATTTAGTTTTTTTTCGATTGCTAAAACTCAAAAAGCAAAAATGAAGCACAATTTTTACAACCTCTACTTCTGTTCCCAATCGCTTGACTCACTTTATCACTACTTAAGATTTCCTTCTCATATTAGAACTCTGATTTCCCTCCTTTACACTCTGATCAAATCAAATCTAATCAAAGATACTTTATTAATCCCAGAGGGAAATTAGAGTTTCAGTACACACAATTCAGAGATCAGACATACATGGGCAAGACACATGACAAGAATTGGTGACTGTGGTCATTCGCAACCCGAGTCGCGCTACCTTAACAGAGATAAGAGGGTTACATGAGGATTGGTTCAGGTGGAGGGAAAAAAAGGCACTTCAGAGTTACCCTCCACCAGGAGGGCAGCTTTGCTCTGCAAAAAAACATCTCACAGATATGCAACAGACTTCAGACAACACAACATAAGTGTCCACTAGGTGGGGTGGTGGGTTGGGACTATCCCCACTTCAGTTCCTGCAGCCACGATAAGCAGCGCATGTCACCTCAGTGTGGATAGGGGGAGGAGCATTGAGGGTTGGAGGGTTGCAGTGACCCTGGAACGTTTCAGCGGCCTTCCAGCTGTCTTGCCCAGGCTGGGTTAGGAGACAGAGTTGAGTTGCCATAGCGACGGCACATTCCTCCTATCTTCTGAGGGGGAAGTTTTGACCTGCCTGGAACATCAGCATCTATTCTCTGGGAGGCAGGAAAGGCAGTGATGAGAGGTAAAATAATCTCTTTCTCATCACATAAGAAAAAAACAGAAAACAAACGTATTCAGGAGTTAGGGGAAATCATTAAGTCTTTAGAGGCATCCAGAGAAGAAGAGTTAATGAGCAAATTAGGTAAAGTTAAAGTAGAACTTCATGGAATTATTGACAAAAAGACACAATTTTTAGCACAAAGACTACGAATAGAAAACTTTGAACATAGTAATAAATCAGGTAAATTTTTGGCTAGCCAATTAAAAATAAATAAAGGGAAAACTACCATATCTGCTGTTAAAGACTCAACTGGGAATATAGTTTATGACCCTGAAAGAATAAACAACACCTTCAGAGACTTTGACCAAACTTTGTACTCACCACAGATAAACCCATCAGATAATGAGATCAATGAGTTCCTTGACAGGATAACACTTCCTAAATTATCAGAAAGCCAAGTTACAGTCCTGGACTCTCCTCTAACATCAGCGGAGCTCCAGGAAGCCCTTAAATCCACGGCTAATAGGAAAGCTCCAGGTCCAGACGGGTTCCCAGCAGAGTTCTACAAAGAATTCTGGATCATTCTGGCTCCAACATTTTTCAGAATGATGAGGGAAATCGAAGAGAGCGGCAGATTACAGCCAAACATGAACTCAGCCAATATTAGTCTCTTGTTAAAACCAGGCAAGGACCCGGCATTTCCTACCAGCTATCGCCCAATTTCTCTTATTAATGTTGATCTCAAAATAATTTGTAAAGCCCTGGCCAAAAGATTAGAGAAGGTAACCCCCTTCATAATACACCCTGACCAAACTGGTTTCATTAAGGGTAGACAGTCATCCACAAACTCACGTAGATTACTTAATTTGATAGATTTCTCTTACAGTAGAAACATAGAAACTAGTATATTATCTCTAGATGCAGAAAAAGCTTTTGATAGAGTTAACTGGAAGTTCTTATTTGCAACTTTACATAAATTTGGTTTTGGGAACTTCTTCATAAACTGGCTACAAACATTATACAGTTCACCAACAGCATGTGTCAGGACGAACGACCAAATATCAGCTAGCTTCTGTCTTCAGAGGGGGACCAGGCAGGGATGCCCACTCTCCCCCTCACTGTTTGCTATCTTTATCGAACCACTAGCAGCAGCAATTAGGCAAACAACAGACATTAAAGGGATAGAGTGTAAGAAAATAGAACATAAGATAAGTCTTCATGCAGATGATGTTTTACTCTTTCTCCAGAATTCTCAATCGTCTCTCTCCCATTCAATAGAACTGATAAACTCTTTTTCAAGAGTTTCAGATTACTCTATAAACTGGTTAAAATCCACAGTTCTACCAATTAATTACTCTTTTGTCAATTTACTTAATACACAATTGGAGTCAGGGAATATCACATACCTGGGAATTAATGTCTCTCCCAAGTTAGCAGATCTAACCAAACTAAACTACATCCCACTTTTAAGGAAAGTGGAAGATGATCTTGCAAGATGGAAATCCTTACCAATATCATTCATGGGGAGAGTTGCTACAATTAAAATGATGGTCTTACCCAGAATAAATTACTTATTCTTGATGATCCCAAACAAACCACCAGCTGACTGGTTTAAATCTCTGGACTCCTCAATCACTAAATTCCTTTGGCAGGATAAACCCCCACGAATTAGTTTAAAACTCTTCAGAAGACCAAAGACAGAGGAGGACTGGATTTACCCAACTTTTATTATTATTTCTTAGCCAGCAGGCTGCAATATATACCAAGATGGTTGCAAGATAACCCATTAGACGAGTCCTGGTTAGATATAGAACAGACACTTTGCAATACGATAGAGCTTTCAGACTTACCATTTATTAGCTCAAGCATAAGAAAACATGAAAGCTTCAAAAGTATTAGAATCAGCACCTCTCTGACGGCATGGTGGGTGTATCTTAAAATGACAGAGTCTTCACTAGTACCATGCAGACGCACACCTATCTGGAATAATCCTGACATTTTGCAAAACAACAAAAGGATCAACCTTCCGGACTGGAAAAATAAAGGAATCCTATACCTGGAACACATATATGAAGGATTGGACTTCATCCCATTTAATCAAATAGTCTCCCAATTTGGAATGGATAAGAATAGCTTTTCAGAATATCACCAAATTAAATCTGTAGTCAAACAAAAATTTAAGCTCAATAAAATAGAATTACAAACACCACCAAGGGTATTAGACTTTTATAATCTCAAACCCCCCAAACTACTGTCTAAAGTATATAAGACACTGTCCAAAATAGACGATAAAATAGTAATCCCTATTGAAAAATGGGAGGTGGATCTATCAGTTAGCTTTGACCAGGACTTCTGGTCCCAAACTTGTTTAAAAACTTTTAAAATGATCAGACACCCCAATTTACAATTAATTCAGTACAAAATTCTACACAGAGTACACTATACAGGTCATCGGATGTTCAAGGGGGGGGAGGGGCCCCCCGGGGCGACCCTCTGTGCCTCTCTGGGGGGCGGGAGCCTTTCTGGTTGCAGTCTCCTTGGGGTTCCTGTGTTCTGGGGCAGCGCCTGGATCTCTGGTACTTGGAGCTCCCCCCGTCTCCTACGCATCTTTGGGGGGCGGATCTGTGGTCCCTCACACTCTCTGTTGGACGCTCCTATAGAGAAACCTTACATAAACAAGCGCGTGTACACACACAGGTGCTCACATGGTGCTCTCAAAGTATGGGCTTGGGCACGTTCAACACATGTCTTAAGGCTGTCGTTGCCACTAAATGCACTGTGATTTATTATCGTGTGATTGTTCAGTTAAACAATGTTGATTTTATATTTCATCATCAGGCTGATGCAGTGATAGCTTGCTCCGGATGTATTGTTGTGTACCCCATTTTTTCTTCTTCTATTCTTTCTCTTTCTGCAGGTCTAGAAGCAGACTCTTGTTAATTATTGTTTATTTTTGTGGAACCCCCCCCCCCCCCCCCCCCTCCCACCTTTTGTCTTTTCCTTTCTCTTTCACCTCTGACTCCGTGTCTGGTCGGAATTACAAAGCATTCAAAAACAATAACAATAAAGTTTTAAGTATCAGGCGTGACATTAAAAGCAAACGCTTTGATGCTCCACCTGAGAATAAATCTGTAAGGCTTGTCACCAGCATTCAGACATCAATTCTGTTTGCTTCACAGCCAGACAGGACACGGTAAAAAAAAGAAAGAAAAAAAAAACCGTGTGAATTTGACCCTAAAACTGCTAGAAACTCATTTGATGACTACATAGTTAGTTTTGATTTGGCATCTGTTAGAAATCCTGGAGTAATTTTTGATTAGGCTTTTTATGCTTTTTGTCCACACGTGACCCAGAAAACCAGGCGCTGGTCTTTGTAGAATAGAATAAACTTTATTGATCCCACTATGAGGAAATTCACTTGTTACAGCAGCACCAACATAATTAGAAGATACATAATAACAAAGGTACGTGTATAACCACATCGGCAGTAAGCTAGTTTTGTAACCTTTGATCACTAAAAGCCATGAATAAAAATAATAAAAAAAACTTGGGTTCCAACAGTATGCAGCATACTGCAAGAGACACGGACATGAAATGTAAATCTGGTATTGAATGAGTATTAAGCACATGATGAGTATTGCATTGATGTTACTGTGTAACCGGAGAACGGTAGTACAACTTAGACTAAGGAGTTCTACACTCGTGCTGCAGAGGGGATGAATGACCTACGGTTCTGTTTCACATCTGGGACGTGTCAGTCTGCCTCTGAAGGAGCTGTCCATGGTCTCCACAGTGGACTGCAGTGGCTGGGAGTTTTTTTTCTCTCCCACATCTGTATCCAGTGGACAGCTCAGAACCGAGCTAGCTTTGTGAACTAGCTTGTTCAGTCTCTTCCTGTCTTGGTCAGAGCTGCCTGCACCCCAACAGACCACAGCAGAGTGGATAACAGAGCCAACCACAGTGATAAAAGGATTTTAGCAGCTGGGAATGAACTCCGAAGGACCCCAGCCTCCTCAGGAGGTGGAAGCGGCATTGGCCCTTCTTATACAGAGCGTCTGTGTTGTTGGACCAGTTCAGTTTGCTGTTGAGGTGAACACCCAGGTACTTAAAGGTTTCCACCAACAAACAAAACTCGATTACCTAAGTGCTGTTTTAATTGGATGTTTGAATGTCTCTAAAACCCGCCAGCTGATCCAGGTCAACCAGTTTTTACTTCTGTGTCTGTTACTTTAAAAGTGTGGAATTTAAAATACTTCTTATTATCTACAGCCAACTTAGTTTTTGGGTGCAGTACGCACAAACACATTCCATACTTTTTGGCAAAAAAAAACCCAAACATTTATTTTGACTGGACAGTGTTAGCCTGTTTGTCTTTATACTGGTTTAATATCTTATATTTTATAAATGTTAACCCTTTGGTTAGATAGTTTAAAATTCTATTGTAACTTTATAAATGTAGTTCCTTTCTCCTTCTTATTAATACTTCCAAGAATACAACAAAAATGAGGATTTTCTTTTTCAGTTACTGAGGCGAGGCTAAAATGTTCTAAGGGTTCTAAGGTTTGACAGTCCCAGCTTTTGCCACTGGAGGGTGGAAATTCACATCTCCATTTACCAATGAAAACCCCCGAGTTTGTATCAGTAACTGTGGGTTTAGCACTTTTAGCACCAGATGTGAAAACCCCAATAAACTCACAAGAGGCACGTGCTTAATGAGAGTTAAACCGAGGTAATCCTTTTCAGTTACATGGTCTGGATCTCTTTTCATTGGCTCCGTCTGAGAAGACGTGATCACTGACTTGAGTGTTAATGTGGATTCCTCCCAGTGGACTCCCAGGTGAGTTCATGAGAAATGATAAATGACCCGCACTTGTGTAGCGCCTCTCAGAGTGAGGACTCCAAAGCGCTTTACACTACAGTGTATCATTCATCCATTCACACACACATTCACACACTGGTGGGGATGCGCTACGATGTAGCCACAGCTGCCCTGGGGCGCACTGACAGAGGCGAGGCTGCCGAGCACAGGCGCCACCGGTCCCTCCGACCACCACCATCAGGCAACGTGGGTTAAGCGTCTTGCCCAAGGACACAACAGCAGAATTCTCTGTCTGGAGCCGGGATTGAACCTGCAACCTTCCGATTACTGGACAACCCGCTCAACTGTTGAGCTACTGCTGCCCCTCAGTTCAGTAGTGAGATCGTGTTTCTTCCAGCTAAGATGTCTCTAGGATAAAGCAAATGCTCTCAGGTCAGAACCTGGAGATGGTGATGCATGCGTTTGTATGGTCTAGGCTTGACTACTGTAATTCCCTGTACGCCGGACTAAACCAGTCAGCACCGTCTAGGCTCCAAATGGTCCAAAACGCTGCAGCAAGATTCATCTTCGGGCTGCAGAAGTGGGATCGTATATCACCGGCTCTGCGTGCTCTGAAATGGCTATCTATGAAGCAGCACGTTGAATTCAAAATTCTGGTCTTATTTTTCTAGTTGCTTGCAAGTTCATCTCCTCTTTACCTCTCAGTGCTTCTTAGGAGACGTGTTCAACCTCGATCACTGCGCTCTGCTGACGGTGACCTGCTGATGGTCCCAGGAACCAAGCGCAAATGTCGTGGTGATCGTTCGCTGTGATGGCCCCAAAACTATGGAAAAGCTCACCTGGTGATGTGAAGCAATCCACCTCCATTTGGAGATTTAAAGTCCGACTGCATCAGTACTCAAGGTCACAGTCTTTCAAGTGACTTGCTGGAATTTTACTGACACATTCTGATGTTTTTACACACACACACACACACACACACACACACACACACACACACACACACACACACACACACACACACACACACACACACACACACACACACACACACACACACACACACACACCATGCCTGCACATATATAGCTTTTAAAATTTTGGACATATGTTTGCTTAATTTCTTCAAGAACTATTTAAAGAGCAAGTCACCCCCAAATCTACTTTTTTTTTCCTGATAAACTATGTAAATGCGTGTCTAATCGTGCTGCAGACACGTGTAGTCAACAGTTTAGCACTTAAGTGCATTTTAGTTTGAAAATTTAAATATTCTGCCTAAAACTGTCAGTGTTGTGCCGTTGTCAGGTACAAACTCTGCACTGCATTTGAATTTAAATCTGCCATCGCTATTGGCTAAGAGGTACCCTAGAACGTTAGCTGGTACCATATGATGTCACAATGTGGGTGTGAGCCTGTGTGTGTGTGTATTTGTTAGTGGCTCCGCCCTCTCGGTCTGCTAGGCAACAGCATTTTTGCATCTTTCAAACAGGAAGTGGGAGTGGAGTAATACTCTGGTAGGGGGTGACTTGCTCTTTAACAAAGTAAAATGTTACTGTAAGTTGAAAAAGATTTTCCTCAAGTAAACACTTCTACTTCACCTGTAAACAAGCTGTTACTAAACAACATTTAAAAAACAGACTTTATTCCTCACGATCAACAATAAAACTCAAAATTGCACGGATCGAGGACTCTTGACACATCCGGTTACGCCTCTGAGATTCATCTCTGCAACACGTCTAAACAATGTGAATAGTTTGAGACAGCACAGCATTTACGTCAGTTATTTACATATGAACGGTAGCTTTTGAAGCATAGTTACTCAAATTCATTAAAATTCTAGAATAAAATCTTCCTGATGCCAAAAGAACAACAGTTGTGGTTTTCTGAGGATTTATGTCTGACTGCAGGACATGTTACAGCTTTAAGACTCACAGTTACACAGAGACAGTTTTCCTGATGACTTTTAAATCATGAGACCGTCCTTAATCCTAAATAAAAGCCCTCCTGTCAGGTTACCTTCTCTGGGAGGGTCTTCTCGTACGTTTGTGAGTTTGTTGAACTCCGGTCCAGTGTTGCTTGTTTAAAGTTAGCCTTTTATTTCGGTGACGTCAGTGCGCCGTGATGCGAGCCATCCCGGGGTTAACGAAGGAGAAGTTCCTGAACATGGTCTGGTCCACGCTGTTGATGAGTGTGCGGTCAGCGCTCGACAGTCTGGGCTTCTCGTTGATGAACTCTTTGTCAAAGTTGCTGCAGTCGCTCGGCGACGTCTGAGGAGACAAAGATGAAATGTTTTACTGCAAAACACAAATTAGGAAACCAAGTTTGAATGCTCTTGAGCCTCTACTTAGTAATACTTTCAACTATATGTATCTTTGTGTAAAAGACAACAGATCTGTTTGATTGCACACTAAAAACCTCTGTTATGGGGTTGAAGAGTACTGCAGCTTAAGTCATGGCTTCCTTGTGATCAGCTACGCTAACTTTAAAAGACCTACTTTACGCATATTTTCAACACATTTGCATTGGTCTCTAGTAGGAATGAATGACTTGTGATTTGGTTTCTGGGAAAAAATATCCGGCGCACCTGTCTAAGGACGTAGAATTCAGCCTGAGGACAAAGCTTCAGACAACAGGATTTAGTCTTATTTCCTGATATTTGGACATCTCAACTCTGATTGGCTGACATCACGACTCTACCACTGACTCTGCTCTGCAAAGTCGATGTTTCATCTCCACAAATAACACGAGCCTGGAGGAGTTCTGCTGTGTGGTGGAGCTGCTAATGCTAACATTAGCTTCTACTAGCGGCGAGGTTCTCTGCTGTTTGCTGGACGCTAAACCAACAGCAGCCTTCTCCGTCGAGAGTCCAGATGGGTGAGTCCATGAATGTTAAATGCGACGTGGATCTGCCAGGCTTTTCTGAACTGAGCGTTTCAATCAGGAGCTAATGCAGGAAATACGTGTAGAAGACTATTTTCACATGACACCTTCATGTTAAACGCTGAGTTATTGATCATTTTAAATAGATATTAAAGGTTAAATATGCAGCATGGACACTCTGGCAAACTCTGGTGTTCAGAGGTGGTATCGCAACAGCAGGACTAATTTTCCATCCGTTGGGATGTTGGTTCACTGCTGACACGTTCCAGCACCAAACCGTTCAGGATAAGGACTCATTTCTACTAATAAGTTTATTTTACAACAGTATTTAACATGAGAACATCTTCTGTGCTCAGAATCAGCTGCTTGACTTATCAAATCCACCATTTTAAACAGTCCCAGCCTCGCCTTCCTGAACGGATGTTTTAGCGCAACAGTGCCCTCTAGTGGCTGGTAGATGTAAACATAAACCCAGTGTTAAACGTGTTCAAGCAGATAAACTCGGCTAATGTCCAGTTTTCCTGCAGCCCGTTCCACGCAGACGGAGCAGAGTGAACAAAAGCCCTTTTGCCCGGTTCGGTGCGAACACAAAGTAACAGCTGATCGTTTGCACGCAGACTTAAGGTGTAAGAGTGGCAAGGAGGATGTCCGCTAAGCTGCCAAGACCTAGGCTTACTAAACAAGTGTACTGATGTGATCAGCAAAATTAAAATGTTCTACTCATATGAAAAACCTCACTCATCCTCACTTCCTCCTGAGAAACTCGTTAGGCTGTGTGGTCGCTACCAGTGATGGTGGTTTAGTCAGAGACCACCCTAACCTGGGTGATGGATGCACTGATGGAGGAAAGGCTTTCCTGCATGTCTGAACAGCTTCACAGATCAGACACAATAATATCGTTCCTGGAATTAGAGAATTTCTAAAGAATTTATTTAGTTTTCCTTGGAAATGCTCTCAAGTTGTTTTGTTAGTGACGAGATGTTTATTGTTGGGATCTAAACAACTGCAGCACATCTTGACTGGAGATAAACGCAAGGAGTAGACAGGATGTTTTTCTGCGTACCAAAGTGGGTTTAAAGGGCGGCGCCACCTGCCGTTGCTCCACAGCCTTCCAGTCGACGCTGCTGAAGAACCCGTGATGTCGGATGTTGCCCTTCACGCCCAGCCGCTCCTCAGGCTCCCTCACAAACAGCTGATGGACGACACACCCGTTACACACCGGGCACCCGTGTCAGACACGAAGGGAAGACGGGAATAAATGATAAAACTACACATATTACAGCATTTATTCTTTAGCCTTCTCATTGGGCTGTTATACTTTTCTTATTTAACTCACAGCCCTTTACCTTGACTAGAATGTCCTTTGCTGCTTTAGTCAGCCAGCTGGGATAAACGGGATTATCTGTTCGGATGGACTGAAACAGCTCCTCTTCGTCGCAGCCGTGGAAAGGAGACTGACCAGTCAGCATCTCGTAGAGCAGCACGCCGAATGACCACCAGTCCACTGAGCTGTTGTACTTCTGACCCAACAGGATCTGGTAAAAACAAACACAAATATCTGGAAAAGCTGACGAGACACTTTCACTTTCAGCTGAGCTCAGGTTTTACGTACCGTTGGGTATTTTTATATCCTTAAAATAAACCACACAAGAGAAAGGACCAATAAGGTTATACGCTGCAGCGGAGAGAGAGGCGGAAGATGTGTGAATAGCAACTCGGCCAGACTCACTCTAACCCCACCACAGCGTTTTAATTAAAACACAGGAAAAATGAACAAAGAGCAAGTCATCACTGTCTCCGCTAGCCAATAACAGTGTTGTTTCTAGGCTAAGGCGGGACATTCCAAAAAGGAAGTCTCAATTTATGGAGTTGCCTGCCGACAGCCGAAAACTGATGAGTCACTCAGAAACTATGGATTCCTGTTGCTGGGCAGATTATTCCACCAACCCCACACAAAGACAAACTACATGCCTTATCAGCATACCAGAGCAGGGCTGAAAGGAAAAAGCCCCGAGACTTACTTTACAACATGATTACTTAGAAAAGAACATTTAAGACAGTGAAATATATTAAAACCCTAACACGTACCATTAAAGCTGGGGTAGCTGGTTTAAATGAAGTAACTCAAAGTAAATCTGATTATCTACCCCTCCTTTATGGTACTGAGTAGATAAACTTTCATCATTTTTATTTATCCAGCTCTACAGAATGAATCATTTACGTGAATCTGGAATCGCGGATCACAAGACGGAGCTGTCAGTCAGCGAGAATGCCCACCAGTAGGGGTTGCATGACTTCATTTTTTGAAAAGTCGACAGTCAAGTAGTGAAAATCTAGTCGACTTTGGCGAATCATTGATGACGTCATACACCTGAAGCGGCTAAAACTGACGATGGGTGACCAAGCGTTTTTTTCCGACGCGCGTCGGGAGGCGACGCTCTGCTCTGCTCGCTTTTTGGCGCCCGAGGTAAAACGGAGATTTCACTGAATTGTGACCTTTACCCTCTTGCTATTTAACCTTCCCCTCACCCCATCCTAACCTTTACTCAGTATGTTAGTCTAAATTTTCCGTTAAGCGTGTTTGAGAGGAAGGATGAAACACGAAACAAAGTTTTGCTTGCGCAAGCTAGTTAATACGGTGGCCCTGAAGTGCAAACCACAAAAACAAATCATTTACCGCAACAACAAATTGAAACACGCAACAACGAATCACTTAATGCAAAAACAAATCACAAAACGCACAACAAATTGAAAAGCGCAACAACAAATTCATTAAATGCAAAACCAAATTGAAAACCACAAAAACAAAACACAAACCGGAAAAGGTAGGTAACAATGATGCAACAACAGGCATCACTGATTGGATGATGGATCCGTTGGCCATTTGAACCGGAAGTTGTTCTGCCGAACGTGGTTATGTGAAAGAGCAGTCAGCGGGTGTGTCCGAATCCACAGGAAGGATGCTTGGAGTACGGGTCCTCGCCGGTCTAGCAAGGCCGGGTCCTTGCTAGTTAAAGTTAAAGTTAAAGTCCCATTAGTTGTCACACACACAGGTGTGTGTGCGACATTTATTCTCCGCATTTGACCCATCCCCTGGGGGAGCGGTGAGCTGCAGACACAGCCGCGCTCGGGAACTATTTGGTGGTTTAACCCCCCAATCCAACCCCTTAATGCTGAGTGTCAAGCAGGGAGGCATTGGGTCCCATTTTTTCAAAGTCTTTGGTATGACCCGACCAGGAATCGAACCCTGATCTCCCAGTCTCAGGGCGGACACTCTACCACTAGGCCCCTGAGAAAGGTGGGTTTTACCCCCATTTGATGCAAAATAAGTTCTAAGGTCCAATTTACATTACATTACATTACATTAGTTGCCGCCACGGCTGTGACGGGACCTACGGGCCACCGTAGAGGTGAAGGCTAGACTGTCCGAATTCAGAGCCGCTGGGTTCCGGTCTTAGCGGTATGGCAAGTACCCGGCCTTGCTAGACCGGCAAGGACCCGTACTCCAAGCATCCTTCCTGTGGATTCGGACACACCCGCTGACTGCTCTTTCACATAACCACGTTCGGCAGAACAACTTCCGGTTCAAAAGGCCAACGGATCCATCATCCAATCAGTGATGCCTGTTGTTGCATCATTGTTACCTACCTTTTCCGGTTTGTTTTTTGTTTTTGTGGTTTTCAATTTGGTTTTGCATTTAGTGAATTTGTTTTTGCGCTTTTCAATTTGTTGTGCGTTTTGTGATTTGTTTTTGTGGTTTGCACTTCAGGGCCACCGTAGGTTAAGGTTAGGATGGGGGTGAGGTAAAGGTTAAATTGCAAGAGGGTAAAGGTCACAATTCGGTCAAATGTCCGTTTTACGGCGGGCGTCAGATACCGACGCGCAGGGGCACATCACCTGCTGCCTTTTCCGAGGACTCCATCTTGTCGGTCATTATCACGTGACAGCGACTAGTCTATGAAAGGCATAAAAAGTCACTACAGAGCAGTGAAGTCGACTAGTCGGCTAGTTGATACAACCCCTACCCCCCAGTACCCAGCATGCGATACGGGGTTATGCCAGGAGAAGCTGGAAGTTTGCTTAACCCTCTGGAGGCAGGCGTTGCAGATTTGCAACGTTAAAACCTACCTACCTGGTTGTGGGCTCGATACACGGGAGGCGACAAACGTCGTTTTTATTACCTGATACACGGGAGGCTTCACATAACTCTAGCAGCACCTTGTGAAACATCATATCTACCGCTTTTTTAAACTCTGAACCGCTTAAATAACCTTAATTCCCTCCAACCTGACACAGCCAATCAAAACAACAGAAGATTCGATTTCGCCACAGAACAGAACGCGTCGACGGCTTTGCCGCTGGCCGCTGCTGCGGGTCGCCTTACTTCTGATTTTACTTTATAAAAAAACCCTGAGAATGGGTTCATCCCATATTACAAACCCAGAGAGGGCTACTCTGTCTATCAGGACATGCTTCAGTTTATTACACAGTTTGGACCCCACATTAAGATGAACACAGTCACAGAAGGAGAAACGGCTTCCATGTTTGCTCGGAGGTGTACGGAGCATCCTGTCCGCTCATTGGTCAGTGAATCAAACCTCCGTTGATTGGTCCTCGTCCGAGCGACAGCGATGAAAAGTTGAAAATGTTTAAACCTTCTGGGATCGCGTCGCTGGGTCGCCTGCGCACGACACGTGCACGAGCGCAAAATTTCACACTCACGTTTTTCGCGTTTCGCTTAGTAGGAGGGAGACCCGCGATGATCGCTTTGTCGTGCACGTCTCATTGAAAATGAATGGAGGAGAGGCGATGTCGCCTCCCGTGTGTCGAGCCCATTACTCCACACACATATTTCATTTGCATTTTTTAAACTCAGAAGTACTCGTGAAGGACTTAGTTGTTCATCCTTTTATCAAAACTTATTTTGAGAACTTAACCTTTTTGAGAGGATTAAGAGGAACCAGAACCAGAACGGAAGTTCCTCAACTGTAAAACACCGTGAAATATTTACGACCGTTCTTAGCACCTCCTAGAGTCCTGCAACCCCCCAAAGCACTTTACAACACAAACATTCACACTCTGGTGGAGATGAGCCACAACGTAGCCACAGGGCACGCTTATAGAAGTGAGGCTGCCGTAAACAGACTCCAGCAGGTGAGGCAGTTTAAGTGTCTTGCCCAAAGACCGAACGGCTAGGACACACTGAGCAGGGCTTGAACCTGCAACCCTCTAGTAAATAATAATTTATTGTATTTTAGAGAATTGTAACTGAAAGTTTATTTGAATAAAATTAATAATAATGCAGATAATTGTTGTGTGGTGTATTTAATGGACGAGGAGAGAGGGAGTTATCTTTTGTTTGTTGGAGCCAAGTGATCAAAGCAGCGTTGAACCTTACTCAATTCAATTATTAAATGATAAATGACCCGCACTTGTATAGCGCCTCTCAGAGTAAGGACTCCAAAGTGCTTCACACTACAGTGTATCATTCATCCATTCACACACACATTCACACACTGGTGGGGATGAGCTACGATGTAGCCACAGCTGCCCTGGGGCGCACGGACAGATGCGATAATCAATAATTAATTAATAAATAAATAAATAAAAAATTTTAAAAGCTACTTAAACCTGCTTTTTTATTATCTATTTAAAAAATATATAATTTCTAGACACTTATAAGGAGCCCTTGTTAAAAGGCCAAAAGAGCCACTTGTGGTTCCAGAGCCGCAGGTTGCAGACAAGGAGTGTGTGGTCACCTCAGGGGCGATGTAGTCAGGGGTCCCGCAGAAGGTGGAGGTCCGAGACTCGTCCTGCATGTTCTCCTTACACATCCCAAAGTCTGCTATCTTTATATGACCGTCTGAATCCAGCAGCACGTTGTCCAGCTTCAGGTCTCTGCAGAGAAACAAAAGTAAATAAAATAAACAGGTTCAAGTCTCACATGACAGAAATCTTTACAAGTTGGTCAAGTCTTTGACAAACAAGTCCAAAGTATGTGATAGTTGCATCTTATTCGAGTTTGTAACTCTAAGTCATTCATAAAGTCTTTGAGAGGCGATTCAGTCAAGTCGAGTCCCAAGTCACAGAGGCTGAGTTCAAGTTAAGAGTCTTTCTTTGTCTGACCAGATTTAAACTTGAGTCCAAGTCTGAGACGACACCCCCCCAAATAAAAAAAGAATGGCTTACCTGTAAATGATTCCTTTTGAGTGTAGGTACTGGAGACCACAGATGATCTCAGCAGCATAGAAACTAAAAAATGAAAATAAATCTGATGGTTTCTGTTTCTTTCACATAACCCTCACCCCTTCACAGAAAATAGAGAAGTAGCCTAAAAATGCAGCCAGATCTGACCAATCGGCATGCTTCGTAGCAGCATGATCACTTCCTTAAAAGGTGAACTGGGTTCAAACCTCCGGCCCAGACTTCAGCATGTCATTGTGCACACGTTAAACACGTACGTGGCTCGATGAAGGTCAAACTTGTGGCAGTTCTGGATGTGGAACATCAGATCTCCTCCATTTAGATACTCCATCACAAAGAAGAGGTTTTCCTGTGATGCAAAACAAAATGTGATTTTATAGAGCAAATTGCAGGTTAGAGCCTCCTTAGAACAATTGTTTAGAGAAACATAACAGAACTCGTTCCAAATAAAAATGTACACATACATCAATTATTTAGGCTTCGGGAGTCGTTTTAGTGAGAAAATGTTTTTTTCCTGCCAAACCAGACATGATGCAGGCAGAGGGAGTCCTGTTAGCTTGATCCAGAGAAAAATATGGATTTTAACGCCGGTTCTGACACAGAGGAAACTTTAAATGTTTATTATTATACTTATGGTGGACCACAACCCCAGTTCTGAGCCTGCTGCCCGGCCCAGGGAGCAGAGACAAGCCAGAGGATGAAACGATGGGAGAGAGATGTAGCTGTGGTGTCAGGAGGTTCTGTGGAGGAGCAGGTGTCTCGGTGAGTGAACGATGCTAGCTAGCTAGCTAGCTTAAACTCATGTGCTAACATCACAGTATACAGATTACTATCATGTACCAGACAACTAAAATAGTATTGGTCAGTATATATATATATACACATGTATATACATACACATGTATATATATATATATATATATATATATACACATACATGTATATATATATATATATATATATATATATATATACACATACATGTATATATATATATATATATATATGTTCTGCCTTTTATAACTCAAACTGGATGTTATCGTTGTAAACTGCCCTGGAGCTCCCTCTAGTGGCTGCTTTGTAATATAGGTTTGGTTACTTTGGGAAAAAAAAATTGAGAACGTGAGGAAGAAATCAAAGATGGTGGAAGGTGATGTCGTAATGTTATTGTTCTAAGCTGATACGGGCCTTAAAATGTTGCTGCCTTGGACGAGATATGTCTGTAAGTATGAGTGTCGTGATCATTATTTTTTGTTTTATGTAAAAATGGTACGATAACTTGTACATTTGAAAGTTTTATCTTGTTAGCTTGCAGCAAGCGGGTAACAAGCTAGTTTACAATGTTAGTTAGCTAATACAGTATTTTGTACTTTCAGTTTTACGATGGTCAAAGAGAAGGCAATGGTCAGAGGCCATTCTTGAATAAATCAGCACAAAGAAGGAAAACAAGTCTGGTTATTGGAGCATCGTTATCTCGCTGTCTAGCAAGGTGAAACTAAGAGACGCAGGGCGAGGACAGCACAGTAAAAAGACATTAGCGCGGCGGGCGCAACCACGAGGAGCTATTTTCAGCGCATCAGTTATGAGTCTACGGTCAGGAAAGCAATATCAACTGGGTCTTCCAGAAGAGGAAAAAACATCAGACCAAAGAGAAACAGAACAAGTGCACAACGCAGAGGATATGGAGAACAAGGATAATGCAAGCAATACAGACACACAGACGGAGTCTAGACGCTCGCGGACATCCAAGCGGTCATCCACAAGCTCGGCAGCACTTAAAGCACGAGCAAAAGCAGAGATTGCACGTGCACAGCTGGCGTATTCAGAAAGGGAAGCAGCTATAATGAAACAAAAAAACCGAACTTGAGGCTAATTTACATGTTTTGAGTTGTCAAAAGGCTGTTGCAGTTGCAGAAGCAGAGGTTGCAGTTTATGAAGAAGAGGAGGAGGGACTCTCCAAAAGTGAACTGCCCTATCCATTGGTGGGACCACCCGCTAGTCCAAAACAACGCACGGCGGAGTATGTACAAAAACACTCAGATATTTGCCTTGAAGGATTAGAATTAAAAGTAGATCCACTTACCTGTCACAGAGTCGCACGAGAACAATGCGAAATGGCTATGAATGCAGATATAGACAATGACGGCTCACACAGTGCTCAAAAGGCTAATGTTAAAGTGGAACTCCAAACACAACAGAGAGAGAGACCGGACTCCCCCAAACCTTATCCGTACAACACTCTTCAAACATCAACAGAGATACAGGGTGTCCAGGATATTACGAGGTACCTGACAAGGAGGGAAATGTTAAGTACTGGACTTTTGCAGTTTGATGACCACCCAGAAAACTACTGGGCGTGGAAGGCGTCATTTCAAAGTGCTATTAAAGACTTGCATGTTACAGCTCAAGAGGAGCTAGATTTAATGGTCAAATGGCTTGGAGTTGAGTCTGGTCAGCAGGCCAAAAGAATCCGATCGGTCCATGTCTTTAATCCAGCTGCAGCTCTTAACCTTGTATGGCAAAGACTCGAGGGATGTTATGGATCTCCGGAAGTGGTAGAAAATGCACTGTTAAAAAAGATTGAACAGTTTCCCAAACTAAACCACAGAGACAACACAAAGTTAAGAGAGCTGGGTGATATTCTGCAGGAATTAGAATGTGGAAAAGATGGAGGATACCTACCAGGCCTCTCATATTTGGACACAGCTCGCGGGGTCAACCCCATGGTGGAAAAGTTACCCTATGGACTGCAGGAAAAATGGATTGCAACAGGAGCAAAGTACAAAGAAGAACATCAAGTCGCTTCCCCCCCTTTCAGTGTCTTTTCAAAGTTTGTAAAGCCAAAATAAGAAACGACCCAAGCTTTGTCATCACACCTCCTGCCGACACAAGCTTCAAGAAGGAGAAAAGCTTCAGAGGCAGCAACAGGCAAGTGATTAGTGTGCATAAAACGGACATCCCTGCAGACACTAGTTCACCTCAAAATAGTTACAGCAAGCTAATAGAAAGCCCTGACAAGGTATGCCCAATACATAAGAAACCTCACCCTCTTAAAAAGTGCAAGAGTTTCAGAGCAAAGCCCATAGATGAGCGCAAGTCATTTTTAAAAGAGAACAGAATCTGTTTTAAATGCTGTGGTTCTACTCAACATCTAGCAAGGGACTGCAGGGCGCAAATAAAATGCATGGAATGTGGTAGCGACAGGCATTTAGCAGTACTACATCCAGGTCCACCCCCTGCTCCAGCAGAGAGCTCTGAAGCTGATAAAGATGATGGCGGGGAGACACAGGATGGTGCAATTGCCTCAGTTGTTTCCAAATGCACAGAAATCTGTGGTGATGCAGATAGCCCACATTCGTGCTCAAAAATAAGTCCTGTGGTAGTATATCCAGAAGGCGAAAAAGAACGGGCTAGAAAGATGTATGCAGTGCTTGATGAACAAAGTAACAAGTCACTAGCTAAGTCTCAGTTTTTTGAGCTCTTTAATATTAAGACACGCTCAGAAACTTACACGCTCAGAACATGCTCAGGACTGTCGGATAATGTCGGCAGAACGGCAACAAACTTCATAATTGAGTCAATGGATGGTAAAGTGAAGCTTCCACTCCCAAACCTGATTGAATGCGACCTGATTCCAGATGACAGGAGAGAGATTCCCTCTCCACAGGTTGCCATGAAGTTCCCACACTTACAGAAGATAGCTGAAAAAGTACCTCCTTTAGAAGAACAAGTACCTATTCTGTTGCTGTTGGGAAGAGACATTATACAGGTACATAAAGTCAGAGAGAAAATCAATGGGCCACACAATACACCTTATGCGCAGCGTTTGGATTTAGGCTGGGTTATAGTCGGGGAAGCCTGCATGGGGAAGACGCATAAGCCCCCTAAAGTGAGTGTTCTCAAAACACATATTCTTCCGAATGGTCGTGCTTCATACCTCTGCCTATGTCCTAATACGTTTCAAATCAAAGACCAGTTAAACACTACACCCAACCCCAAAAAAGACAAGGAAACACAAACACCAATCAACTGGGAGAAACTGTTTTTGTCAGGACAAAGGATGATGACAAACCAGCACTGTCAGTAGAGGACAAAGACTTCATTGACATCATGGAAAAGGAGGTGTATCAAAACGAATGTAACAGCTGGGTGGCGCCTTTGCCATTCCGCTCTCCAAGATCAAAGCTTTCGAGTAACAGAGAGCAAGCATTCAAGCGCCTCCAATCTCTCAGAAAGACACTGGAGCGGAACCCTGAAATGAAAAGACAATATATCGAATTCATTCAAAACATGCTGGACAACGATCACGCAGAAGTCGCTCCACCTTTGGACTCAAACAAAGAACACTGGTACTTACCATCCTTCGGTGTGTACCACACAGAAAAACCTAATCAGCTGAGAGTAGTCTTTGACTCAAGTGCAGAATTTCAAGGACAGTCCCTTAACAAAGTCTTATTAAGTGGACCCGATCTAAATAACACACTGCTAGGTGTCCTTATGCGTTTTAGGAAAGAGCTTGTAGCATTTTCAGCTGATGTGCAACAAATGTTTTATTGTTTTGAAGTGAGAGAGGATCATAGGGATTATCTGAGATTCCTTTGGTATGAAGCTAACGATCCCGACAAAGGTATTTGTGACTATAGAATGAGGGTTCATGTTTTTGGGAATAGCCCTTCCCCAGCTGTAGCTATTTACTGTATGAGGCATGCTGCAGTCGAGGGAGAAGAAGAGCACGGAAATGATGCAAAGCAGTTTGCAATGAGACATTTTTATGTTGATGATGGTCTCGCATCCACAGCAATGGTGGAAGAAGCTGTTGAGACACTCACAAGTGCTCGAAAGATGCTGGCACAGTCAAACTTGAGGCTACACAAAATAGCCTCTAATGACCACAAAGTAGTGGAGGCGTTTCCTGCTGCTGAGAGAGCCAAGGATTTGAAAGACTTTGATTTGGAGTTGGACGACATACCCCTGCAAAGGAGCTTGGGGCTACTGTGGAATCTTAAAAGTGACTGTTTTACCTTTCGCGTCACCACTGAACAAAAGGCGTTCACCAGGAGAGGTGTCTTGGCCACTGTCAACAGTCTATATGACCCGCTGGGTTTCGTGTCACCCATCACAATGCAGGGAAAAGCTCTTCTCCGTGAATTGACCTCAGAGCAAAAGGACTGGGATGAATCGCTTCCTACAGAAAGAGAAGAGGAATGGAGCAAATGGAGAAGCTCATTGAAGGATCTTGAGCGGCTACAGATACCGAGGTGCTACCTACCGTTCTCCCAAGTCGTTGCTGAGAAAAAAGAACTGCATATTCTCAGATGCCTCCACCATGGCCATAGGAGCAGTGGCATATCTGAGAGCTTTTGATGGTGAAGGTCAGTGGCACACAGGGTTCATCATGGGCAAGTCCAAAGTAGCCCCAAGACCCGCTCACACTGTCCCCAGATTGGAGTTATGTGCAGCAGTGTTAGCCGTAGAGATGTACGAACTCATCAAAGATGAGATTGACATTGAAGTAGACACTGTCAGATTTTTCACAGACAGTAAAATCGTTCTTGGTTACATACACAACAACACAAAGAGGTTCTACACTTACGTGGCAAACCGAGTGATTAGAATCAAAAAGACTACACATCCGTCACAGTGGTTTTACATAGCCAATCCAGCAGACACAGCCACTAGACCGATTGCAGCTTCTGCATTGGTTTCGACGAACTGGTTCAGTGGTCCTTCCTTTTTGACACAACACGACACAGAGAAGTCTCACTGTGATAGCTTCACACTGATTGATCCCAACACAGATGCAGAGATCAGACCTGATATAACAAGTTTTGTTACCAAAGCGTGTGGCAGCATCATTCAAGAAAACAAACACAGAAGGTAAAGGCTGGAAGTGTTTCAGGGAAACTAACACTGTAGATGAAGTGTCTAAAGCAGCAAAGTGCATCATTCACACAGTAAAAAGTGAAACATTTAAAGAAGAGTACAGATGCATAAAAGAAAATCAGCCACTTCCAAGGCAAAGCTGTCTTCAAAGATTAAATCCAGTTATTGATGAAGATGGGCTCCTCAGACTAGGAGGTCGATTGGCACCTTCTAACCTAACAAAAGATGAGAAACATCCACTCATTATCCCTAAAGCTCATCATGTGGCCATCCTTCTTATTAGATACTATCATGAGAAGGTAGCACATCAGGGGCGTCACCTAACGGAAGGAGCACTCAGAAGTGCTGGATTTTGGATTATTGGCAGTAAACGGCTCGTCTCTTCTGTTATTCACAAATGTGTTCTCTGTCGAAAGCTTCGAGGACGACTTCAGACCCAAAAGATGGCAGATTTGCCTGTTGACAGGCTGACACCAATGCCACCGTTCACTAGTGTAGGACTGGATGTCTTTAGACCCTGGACGGTCACCACACGTCGCACCAGAAGAGGAAGTGCAGACAGTAAACGCTGGGCTGTGCTTTTTGCCTGCATGTCCACGAGAGCTGTGCACATTGAGCTCATTGAATCAATGTCGACATCCAGCTTCATCAATGCGTTAAGGAGATTTTTCTGCATCCGTGGACCTGCTCAAATACTCAGATCTGATAGGGGTACAAATTTTGTTGGAGCATGCAATGAGTTGCAAATTGATCACAAGGACACAGAACTAAACTTATACCTGCAAAAGAAAGGATGCACATGGTTGTTTAATCCTCCACACTCATCACACATGGGTGGATCGTGGGAGAGACTTATTGGAGTGGCAAGGCGCATCCTAGATGGTATTCTGTTGAAAGCAGTGCATGTCCAACTGACGCATGAAGTGTTAAGTACATTCATGGCAGAAGTAATGGCAATAATGAATGCAAGACCACTTGTACCAGTCTCAACAGATCCAGACAAACCAAACCTTCTCACCCCAGCAATGCTCCTTACACAAAAAGTCAACGCATTATCTGCACCAACAGAAAGCTTTGGACCACCAGACCTCTACTCAAAGCAATGGAAGCAAGTACAGTGTTTGGCAGACTCTTTTTGGAAACAGTGGAAAAGTGAATATCTTTCAACACTACAGCAAAGGAGAAAATGGACTGATGATAAAACAAACATAAAAGCTGGGGATGTTGTGTTATTGAAAAAAGCTCTCGCTCACAGAAATGACTGGTCCATGGGAAAAGTTGTAAAGACATTTGAGAGCAAGGACAACAAGGTTCGAAAAGCAGAAGTAAAGACTGGGAAAGATGGAAATGAAAAATTGCTTTTGAGACCCATCGCTGATTTGGTTTTGCTTTTATCAAGTGATAAATAAGTGTTTGAAATAGCCGTAACTGTTCTAAATGTTTATCAGAAAAGTTTGTTGTAGTGGCACAATTGCATTGTACCAGGCAGGGAGTGTTCTGCCTTTTATAACTCAAACTGGATGTTATCGTTGTAAACTGCCCTGGAGCTCCCTCTAGTGGCTGCTTTGTAATATAGGTTTGGTTACTTTGGGAAAAAAAATTGAGAACGTGAAGAAGAAATCAAAGATGGTGGAAGGTGATGTCGTAATGTTATTGTTCTAAGCTGATACGGGCCTTAAAATGTTGCTGCCTTGGACGAGATATGTCTGCAAGTATGAGTGTCGATAAGATGATCATTATATTTTGTTTTATGTAAAAATGGTACGATAATTTGTACATTTGAAAGTTTTATCTTGTTAGCTTGCAGCAAGCGGGTAACAAGCTAGTTTACAATGTTAGTTAGCTAATACAGTATTTTGTACTTTCAGTTTTACGATGGTCAAAGAGAAGGCAATGGTCAGAGGCCATTCTTCAATAAATCAGCACAAAGAAGGAAAACAAGTCTGGTTATTGGAGCATCGTTATCTCGCTGTCTAGCAAGGTGAAACTAAGAGACGCAGGGCGAGGACAGCACAATATATATATATGTATATATGTATATAATATTGATTCTTGACAATAATAAACTATAATGAGCGTCTGTCAGCTTTCACACTCGTTAATATCCGTTAACGTAACGTAGCTTAGCGTTTTAGAGAGAGGGAGGGACGCCTATTCAGGGCAGGTGGTTCTCAGCTGGTTCCGACCCAGAAACCAGCTTCCCTGGCCCGCTAGCAATTTTTAAAAGCTCCTTATCTTCTTCTGGAGCTCAGCGCGGACCTCCCTGACCTGGTTGTGACGCCAATCTAGGAGCCCACAGGTATGCTCCACCACGGGATTCTGGAGGATAGGAGGCATGTTGAACTCCCATCACATCACTGAGATTGTAATCCTTAAGTCTGAAGTGTGCACCACAAACGACCGTGTTTTTAGCTGCACGAAACACCGGGAACAGAAGATTGTTACATTCTCTTATTTGGAAACCTGTGCATTCGATGTCCGACCTGCTGGAGTTTGTACAGCCTCCACACACACATTAGTTTACCATTTCTAAGAAAAATGAGCACAATGCTAAACTAGTGAACACACACACACACACACACACACACACACACACACACACACACACACTTACTTGATAACACGACCTCTTTACTCAAAAATTACCTACTGGCCATACTGAGCTTCAGGCAGGACTAGCTTATAACTCCCCCCCATAACATCAGAGGTTAAGATAATAAAAAAAACGTGTTTTTAGGTTTGCTAAAAAGGGTTTTTTTACTTGAAATAAGGGGCTGTTATGTATTGTCATACAAAATACCCACAATAATCATTTGTATGAAATAAAAATAAATTTAACCTGCAATTTGGTCTTTAAACAAGACTGGATTATCTTAATTTTTATTATCATGGTTGTTTACTTTTTATGTTTATTAGTAAATAAGTGTTATGAGCCCAGTTTATTAGTTCTCTTTCATGTTGCTTAACTTTATATTTTTATATAATAAGTCAAACCGAACGTGGGGATTTTGAATGTTAAAACTTGCCACCTATTTATATTTTATGCTGTAAGTGTTTTTTTTGAAAGATTTTGCATTAAAGGTGTGGTTCACTGAGAAACCATCTTTTATTGATTGTTTCTGATTTTAACGAGTCATTCTGAGTGTTTCATACAGGCTGAACATGAAAATAGTCTCCTACACCTATCTCCTGCAGTAGCTTCTGATAGAAAACAGATGGTGAAACTCTAGGATTAGAAAATCCTGACAGATCTACGTCACACTGTCACTTAACATTCATGGACTCACCCATCTTGACTCACGACGGGGAAGGCTGTTGTTGGTTTAGCGTCCAGGAAACAGCAGAAAACGTCTCGGCTATTAGAAGCTAACGTTAGCATTAACAGCTCCACCACACAGCAGAACTCCTCCAGGTTTGTGTTATTTGTGGAGATAAAACATCAACATTGCAGAATAAACAGAGTCGTGATGCTGTTAGCCAATCAGAGGAGAGATGTCGAAGTATCAGGAAATAAGACTCCACATCCTGTCGTCTCAAGCTACTTTCTCCTGTGGCTCTACATCCTCCACCAGGTGCACTGGGGCTTTGTTTCCCCAGAGTACGACTTACATTATTACCGAGACTGCTGCAGATCTATTAAAACATGAGTAAAGTTGATCTTTAAATAACTGAGTGACAAAATAATCTAAATTATTTCATAACGGCTAAAGGAGTCATGGCTGTATTTTCTGAAGCTTCTCCTGGATCCTCACCTTTGTCTGGAACGTGCAATAAAGGTGTGTGAGGAAGGGATTCTCCCAGGCTAAAGACAGAACCCTCCTCTCCACCATGGTGCACTCCACGTCGTCGTCCATCAGCACCACGTCTTTCTTCAGAGCCTTCACTGCAAAAAACTGGCCGCTCCTTTTCAGCTCGGCCAGAAACACCTGAGGTTACAGAGGAAGCAGCTTAAAGCGGCAGCGTTTGTCTGCTGTGATGAAGCAGCAGTGAAATGAATCAGTGGTTTTCAGAGGACAGAGGCAGCACAAACATGCATGATCACATGGTCTGGTTAAGGATCTAACTAATGTTGGTCTGGTGGGAAAAGTTTCTTTCTCAAAAGCTGTGAGACAATCCATCCATTCACTCCAAAAATCATAGTGTTTCTCAGTGTCAAGGCGCCTGGCCTTGCGAGGCGATGTCTTGCGAGGTCAGGCGCCTTGCTTACGAGGACGCGGTCCTTCCTTGGTCAAAGAAAATGGTTAAATGGAACAGACTTGCATCACGTGACCGCGGCTTCCACGGCGGTCACGTAAAGTCATGTGATACGGGAGATAACGTTATATGTTATACGTATTAGTTTCAATATAAATATATAACGAGCCTTTTACTTTTTAATTGTTTATTAAATTACATATATAAGTGAGTTACTACCCGCTAGCCACCGAAGCTGCAACTACTAAGCAATTAACCAACCACAGATAACTTCTTTGGATCTAAAAAAACATTTTAAATTAGCTGACTTACTTTTTAACTTGAAAATTGTCCCCGAAGTAGCTGCCGGCTTTTGATCCGCCGTCCTTTTGAAAATACCGCAGTGTATTCTGGGTAATTTTTGACCAAGGCTAGGCTACAAGACACCTCCCGTGTGTCCTCGCTCAGCTAGCTAAACGGCTAACAAACGGAGAACACCCGCCTTGGTGACATTTTTATTTAAATTATATTGTCACCTTTCCGAAGCTGCCTTTCCCGAGCATCTTGTGCAGAGTGAAATCCTCGATGGTGAATTTAGGTTGGTGATCCTTTTTTGGGACAGCGTAAAGAGGTTCTTCTGAGGCTTGCTCAGGGGTCGACCTGCTGACCTCTGGTGGCCCCTCCCACAAAACACCCACCATATCTGCAACAAGAAGCCAAACAGTTGGTGTGAAAAGAGTTTTCTTAAGGACAGAGACAGAATCTATGAGGTAGAAGTTACTAACCTTTGCCTGCAGGTGTGGCTGCAACAGGCAGACCCGTTACTATCCCAGACAGTGCTCGGACCACCCCCGGCTGGCCAACGCCAACTGGTCCTTCTCGACTAATGATGTCACTGTCTTTGGTGCTTTTTGCCTTCAGAGAAAAAAACACAAGCAGCATCAAAGTAAATGTGTTCAACAGTTTAAATATTATTGAAATTATGGTAAATGGCCTGTATTTGTATAGCACCTTCTTAAGCCGGGCGTACACTGTGCGACTTTTTCACTCGCAGCGTTCAGCTTCAGCTCAAACTGTACGACTTCCTCGCAGAGCAGATCTCACGAGTCATGTGCTCACACTGTACGACCCAGTTCTCGCATGCGACCTGACTGCTCACACTGTACGTCTGGTAGCAACACGTCGGCCCTAAAAATGTGCTAAAAATAGCAGTTTTTACTCAACACGTCAGACTTTTTTGTCTTGCCTGTTGACCTTCGGGAGTGTTGCAGGAGGACACACAGGGATTTATGGGGGTTGGATGAGGAAAACGAAATAAAGAAAGTGAATCTGTGTTTTGTGATCAGTTTAATTTGACATGAACACGACAAACACGCTTTCTTGACAATCTTTGTGAGTAAAAAAACGTGTAGAAACAAAAACGAACAGCGTGTGTTATTAGGGAAATAGCGAGCGACCGGCCGGCGTTGATGCAGGATTGCGCGCGCATGCGCCGTGAGCGGTTCTGATACTTTTTGGATCGTAGCTGCTCGCAGCGCCGCTTCAACAGTGCGATACCCTCACGAGGGACGAGCGAAATATTAAACACACCAGAAGTCCCTGCGACCTCACGACTGCTGATCGGCGGCTGGTCACGTGGTGTTAATCGCCTCTCGTAACCCCCTGTACACTACACGACCGCTCGGCGCAAAACTCGCCCCGATGTCGTGGCTTCTCGCACGACTGGAAAATCGGCTCAAAAAAGTGAAAAAGTCGCACAGTGTACGCCCGGCTTTAGGGTTCTACGACCCCCCAAGGTGCTTCACAACACAATCAGTCATTCACACATTCACACACACATTCACACACCGGTGGGGATGAGCTACAATGTAGCCACAGCTGCCCTGGGGCGCACTGACAGAGGCGAGGCTGCCGAGCACAGGCGCCACCGGTCCCTCCGACCACCACCAGCAGGCAAGGAGGGTTAAGTGTCTTGCCCAAGGACACAATAGCAGAATTCTCTGGTCGGAGCCGGGATCGAACCTGCAACCTTACGGTTACTGAATAACCCGCTCTACCTCCTGAGCTACTGCTGTCCCAGGTTCTTCTGAGAAATTAAATGAAAAGTTGTGTAAAAATGCTTTTTAACACACTTCCACTCAGAATTGTGAAACTTGAGTTGGGATAACTTAAATAGTGCAACCAGTGCAAATGCATAAACTGTTAATAATGCAGCTATTTTTGTGAAAACCACAACTCGTGGTGATCCAAATCCCAAATACACTACAGGGTATTTCTGCACACACTGGTGTGACATTTATGGTTCTGCTTAAAAAACAACATTTACACTCGGGCTGCACAATATATCGAAAAATTATTATCATTGGGATAACAGGACGTGCGATAGGCCCATCGCAAAGCACGCCAGAAACAGCGATAAATGTTTGGTTCAACATTTCCATCCGTGTCATACATCAGCTTTTTGTAAACCAGCTCTGTTTTTTAAGCGGAAGTATTATTTGACCAATCAAATGTAGTCCTTCTGATATGCGGCCAATCAGATGGGTCAGTTCACGTAATACGCCCGCCCCCTACGTAGACCCTTAGGATGGAAAGTGTTATGTGCCATGCCCCTTTTCGGCCACAGGATGGCCTCAGTGGCTTCTGCCTCGCCTGTCTCCCGGTGAACAGCTGTTTGTAATCGCTCATAATCACTTGACAGCTGTTAAAAGCTGCTCTCCGGCCCTCAGTCAACGAGAAGGTCCAGGGTAGTGTAGACTCTTCGGAGTATATACTATTCTCTTCTCCTCGGTTGCTTTCTTGGTAAAAACTCGTATTGCTCACGCTCGTCTTCGGTTTACACACTCTTGGTATTTGGATTTGGATATAGGATTTGACCATTTGGCTTGTTGACTTAGGAACGTTTTGTGGACTTTGACTTTGGATCTCCCCCGCTCTTTTTATCCTCGGTTTATTCCCTACACCTTTTGGGTTGGTGTTTTCCGTTCTCCCCTTCGTTTTGTAGATAAGCTCCTTTTGTTTTTGTACATAGAGATTCCTTTTAATGTTGTAAATATTCATTTTGTAATAAACTTCTTGTTTTTTTTGTGACACAGCACGTTGATTATTATTCAGTCCACACACCACTTTTATTACTCCCCTCCTCATCTCTCCTAGAGAGCCGGGGACGCAATAAAAGCAACACCCGAACTGAGTTAGCGGCGCCGTTCCCTTGTTCGTCATTCTGGCTCAGAGCAACAAACGCACTTTGTGCTGAGGTTTCTGGATTCAGCGCTGCTTTCAAACGTGAACATGAGTCCGCTTGGTGTCGGTAATCATTTTTACCGTGCCGGGGTGAACCAACCCACCTTCATGTCGCTAGTGTTCCACCGGGTGGTTACGTTAGCCCCAGGTTCCGGTTAGCTTCCAGCTAAAAGGCTACAGCACCCTCCTCCCAGTCCCACCCTGCTAGAGAGGGCCTGGAAAAGTTCCCCCACACATCAAAGTGATTTTTCCTTTATGAGCTTTTATAACCTTGTTAATCAGGATAGTTGATTTGCTGCTGCACATAAACTGTCAGTCAGAAGCTCTGCTAGCCTCTTATCTTAGAGGAGCTAGTTCAATTTGTTAGCTTGTCATCAGAATCATAGTTGTAGTTTCATCATCTGAGCTGCTTTTTAAGATCTAGGTAAACTTGTTCAATTTGGGGTTAAAACAAACGTTTTCACATATTTTCCATGTAGTTTTTTTGCCAGTTCCTCTTCTGAAAGGTAGACAATTGTTTTTCTCTTTCCCTCAGAAAATCTTAATATTCTCCTAGTTTGGCCCAGCACAGTTCACTTCCCAATAGCAGCAACAGCCTTATATCATAACCACATAAGAGGAGAAAATGTTCAGCAGCAACGAGAGAATTTGCTGTTGCATTTAAGTGATGTTAACTATTATTTAACATTTAAACATATTTTCTGATTTTTTATTTATTCTAAAAACCCTGGTAAGGGATGTTTTTCTGTATTTGGAGCATCAGAAAAAGTTTCATGGTGGAGGTGATGTTTTAAAGTCACTGAGAAACTGCATGCATGCAGTTTGTTGTTTAGCTGCTAATGCAGTAGCAGGTGCAGCTGCTAATACAGTAGCAGGTGCAGCTGCTAATACAGCAGAAGGTGCAGCCGCTAATACAGTAGCAGCTGCTAATACAGCAGAAGGTGCAGCTGCTAATGCAGTAGCAGGTGCAGCTGCTAATGCAGTAGCAGGTGCAGCTGCTAATACAGTAGCAGGTGCAGCCGCTAATACAGTAGCAGGTGCAGCTGCTAATACAGTAGCAGGTGCAGCTGCTAATGCACTAGCAGGTGCAGCTGCTAATACAGTAGCAGGTGCAGCCGCTAATACAGTAGCGGGTACAGCTGCTAATACAGTAGCAGGTACAGCTGCTAATACAGTAGCAGGTGCAGCTGCTAATACAGTAGCAGGTACAGCTGCTAATACAGTAGCAGGTACAGCTGCTAATACAGTAGCAGGTGCAGCTGCTAATACAGTAGCAGGTGCAGCTGCTAATGCAGTAGCAGGTGCAGCTGCTAATGCACTAGCAGGTGCAGCTGCTAATACAGTAGCGGGTGCAGCTGCTAATGCACTAGCAGGTGCAGCTGCTAATACAGTAGCGGGTGCAGCTGCTAATACAGTAGCGGGTGCAGCCGCTAATACAGTAGCAGGTGCAGCTGCATATTTTTGCAATAAAAATGTTATGTTGTAATGGAATTCATGCATTAGTTTTTGTTTGCTTTGAACCCAGAGCAGACGTCACACGCCAGACGACATCAACACTGCATACTTTAGTATTTGTTCATTTATCGCGAGTAAGCATACTTTAGTATTTGTTCATTTATCGCGAGTAATATCGATATCGCAATATTAAGCACTGTTATCGAATATCGCAGGTTTTCCTAATATCGTGCAGCCCTAATTTATACAATAGTTTTATAAAGCTGCTGAGAGTTTTATCTTCATTTCTGGTTCAAAAACTGTGATTTGTTTTTAAAGAGACTTAGACACTGATCTCTAGGCCTCTTTATGTGTGTTCTAGCTGATGGCAGCTTTAAGTCAGACTGGCCACATGAGGGCTGTGTCTTACCTGTGTACAGTTTTAGATAATAAGTGTCGTGTGTCAGCAAGGTGGCCTCCGGAGCTACTTCAGCATGAACTGAGTGTGGCTACAGGAGGACAGAGCTCCAACAACAGCTTTTAAAGTGTTATTTCAAACAGAATCGTGTCCTGTGCTATCTGTGGCAACACATAGCAACAAATAAGCAACGTTAGCTGCTTTATGCTACAGATGCTAGTGCTGACATTGATGTGATGTTAGCAGAACAAAGATAAACTATTTGTTTGTGCTAGCAAAAGTAGCTTCCGGCGAACCATTGGTCATCTTAAATGTTGTAAATTTCCCAGAGATGCCATGGTGTCCTTTTGAGACTACCTCTAGTTCCCACCTGCCATTAAAATCCATCAGCAGTGACGAGGTCTTAGACACGCACACCAACGTCACACCTTTGTAGTTATTCACACAACTGGTGATGAGCATGAACAAAGCAATGAGAGAAATTAAAGCATCACATTTGATGGGAGCTCAGCATACAGAGAGTTGATCATTCACTCATTAATGCAATCCTAATAAAATGGTCGTTAAAAGTTTGATTCCCCAGAGTTTATGTGAGAGGTGCTGTAAGCAGAGGGCTGATGGTGCTTATAAATGTCGTTCTTTAAATCGAATCAGCTCAGACTTGTGGGGCTGTGATGATTTGAATCTGTCTGGCTCTCGAGTCTTCATGTTTAAACATGAGCAGCTCCAGCTGCAAACATACTCAAGCCTCTCGACTGTGACCCACGACATAAAGCTCTCCTCAGTCTCTCCCTGCGGCCATACCGTCAACATTCTAGCTTTTCCTAGTTTGTGTGTTTTGACTGATGATGTTTTTGCCTCTTTGACGGTATCTCTTTACCTCTTTTTATCCTCGTCAGACTTTCAACTCATGGATTTTGATCTCAAGCCTGCCTCAGCTCTGCCGCTCTTGCCGATTAGAGTATTTTTTGCACGCTTTTGACTTTTTTCCTGTTTTAAGTTTCCTGTTTTTAGAATACTGGTAGGAATTTGAAAGCTGGGATCTGCACATACAAACAGTACCAGAATGAGTGTTGTTAGTTTGGGATTGTTGCGTCATAATCCACCACCATGTGTCTGGTGCAGCCATTGGGCTCTGAAGCATCACAGGAAGTGTGTTGATCTGACCTGCTGCTGGCTCTCGATGACGGCCAGAGCTTCTGCCATCAGCTTCTGGTTGACACCGCAGAGGTTGGCCACTTTCTTCTGGCATTTGTGATGAACATTCATGCTGCATTCTGCACAAAAAACCAAATAAACCCAGTTTTGCCATTTGATGTTAATATTCATTACTACTTTAATATTCTAACTGTAAAATTATTCTTAGTGTTTTGGTGAATGCTCTGTTGCATAGTAAATAAATTCTTGATACAGATTCAGTGGCTTATTTCACACAGCTGCTGCAGCAGCTGCATCACGTTTCTGCGAAGCTGATTCCTGATGGAGTGATGGTAAAAAGGAAAATATTTCCTGCCATCTCAGTCGTTGGAAGCTCTGCATGTTGTGTACTAAACTGTCATAATTCCCCGGTGGAAATCATGTGATCATTTAGACTGTTTCAGCTTCTCAGATGAAATTATCTCCATTGGTTTGGAAAATAAGCCTCTTATGTTACAAAAAGCATTAAAAATACCCAGAAATCTGTGTGTTCACGGGTAACGCTCTCCTCTTTAGGAAGTGGGACATGTCTGTTATTCCTCCATCTTATTCAGACAAAAGTCAAAAGGATTTTATATCAATTTTTTATAAATATTGTTGAATATTTTGTTTCATTTAAGATTTTATGTCTTTGGTTGTATTTTATAATTATAAATGCGAATCTTTAAGTTTGAACTGAGATCACAAAATGTACTTGATCATTATTTATCTATATTGATATTATTCTTATCTCTTTGGTCATTTTTATTAGTTTAACCCAGTATTTATATTTACTTTATTGTTTTTCACTGTTTTTTTTGTGGTATTGTTATTTTTGTGTTCATTTAGGCCAAAATAAAAACTTTTGTTTTAGTTTAAATCTGGAATGACAATAAAATACCTCATAATTCCAACTTAAATAGACATTTGAAAGAAATCTTTAGTCTAAATCTGTACATTTTAGCAGAAATAAGTTGAAATTTACCAAATAACTAATTTGTTTCTTTAAAAACATTTTTACGTTCAATTAAAATTTCCTTTGAAAACTAAGTAATAATAATAAAATTCACCTTGACACATTTATCCAAGCTCTTATCTAACATAATCTAGAAATGACATCATCATCATCTAATATCATGCAAGATGTATAATCATGAGGATGTCTGAGCTTCATTATCCTTAATCTTTAATCATCTCAACACAGATCTGACATCTGTAAATAAAATATAACTCTATAAGTCTCACTAAATGTCTCTGAACGTGGTTTTGTAACATGAGAACAAAAGGTAGTCATGCTGACCTGCTTTTTTAGACACTGTGATAAAATCAGGGTAAACATCTGTGACCTACATTGGTGGGTCAGAGAGAAATAATAACACAGCTGGTAAAGTCACACTGGGCTGAGACTGTTCCTGACCACTGAATTGGTACGTTTTACACACGGGGACACAAATCCTAATAAATAGCAGCTTTTCTGCAGGTTGTCTTGTAAAAATTTACTCACAAATTCTCTGTTCATGTCTAATTTTGTTAGTATTTGGTCACCAAACCCCTCCTCAAGTTGCAGAAACTACACTGAAAAAATGGTTGGCCCAAAAATTTGACTTTATGTAATTTAATTACATGTAAATTTTCTGTGTAATTGTTTTACTTAAAGTCAACGAAAGATTCACTTTTAAGGTGTTGTGATTTGGTAACGCCTGCTTTTACAGTCCCCTAATTACTAAGTACATACATGGTAATTACATTGTAAGTAAAAGTGTATTATTGTTTCTGAGTTCTTAAACCGTTATTACCATGTAACTCAGGCTCAATTTTAGTTTTTATTTGTATTAAACATTCCCAGTAAATACAGCTTTACACAATAATTATACTTTGTTACAATTATACACCTAAATTATACAATAATACACTTTAACTTACTATGTAATTACCATGTAAGTACTTAGTAATAAGGGACTGTAAAAGGAAGCGTTACCTGTGATTTTATAAATTTTTGTTAAATCAAAGGGTTTAGTCGTGTTTAGGGCCAAGAATTACTGTTTTGGGTGGAAATTGAGAAGCGTTCCAGATGCCTTTCATAACATCGAAACTTACAGATAGGAAAGAGAACCTGGAAGACTATGGACACTTGAATCCTAATATTTAAAAACTGATCAGAAGATCCTGGTTTTTTATTTTCCTTTGCATCCAAACTTCAAAGGTTGCTACTTTTTGGTTATAGCTGCATCTCCACCTGTAATTTCTTTCTCTCTAATGTGAATAAGATTAACGAATATCTAAAGGTGCTGCCTCACCGTCACATTTGAGCCCCTGCCTGGCGAGCCCCCACAGCAGAGTCCCACAGTGTTGACAGAAGGTGGGACTTTTGTAGCTGTAGACCCTAAACCTGTGGGGCATGTCGATCTTGAAGCGCTCCTTGTGGATCTGCAACACATCACACAGAAAGACTAAAGGACCTTTGCCACCAGTGTACGGCTCCATCATTCTAGATCTAATCAATCAGAACAAGGATTTACATCACAAGCATGCATCTGTGTGGGATTTCCACTGTGATTATTATTTATAAAAGTGAAACCAGAGCATTTCCACATTTCTGTCTTTTCATCATCATTATTTATTTATTTCCAACATGCCAGTAACATCACAATTAAAAACAGGATATAAATCAATAATAAACCTCACAAGATAAATCAATAATAAATCAAGCTGACATTGTTGTAGGCATGTTCGAAAGAGAGTGGGCGCAAGCCAAGCCTATTCAAGCTCACCCCTATTTTTCACTAATAGTTTAACATTCAATATATAGAAAAAACTCAAATTCAACAACCTTATGACCAAAGAAAATCATAACAATAATAATAATGGTAATGTAGACAATTTAACAATTCTTGTTAATATCATTGATTATATAATGTAATCCCATACACCTTTACTCACATCATCGCCCATTCTCATTTGTAATGTATTTTAACCAAACTGTTCTTTGTCATGAACTCCTCCTCTTAACCTCCTCTGCGGGCCGGGCTGGCGCTGCACTCCAGTTCCCAGCATGCCTGTCACCGACGCTTCCCGGTGACGTCATCCCGCTGAGCCTATTTAAGGACCTGTCACAGCGGAGCCGGCACTCAGTCATCATCTAACGATAGACGCCAAGCCATTCTAAGACCTAAGCAGGGGCGTCGGACTGGGGGGGAAAAGGGTACCGTTTACCCAGGGCCCACTGCAGGGAGGGGCCCTGAGACAGCTTTGAATAAAAATGTTTTATTGTTGTTGTTTTTTCCCCCAACTTACTTAATGTCTTAATAAACTTCCCTTTACCTGGATAAAGAGGTTAAGAAACAGAATTTCGCCATAAAAATAATAACTGAATAATCTCTGAGGCATCTATCACCCCTTAAAAATGTGCAAAGTGGTTTAGTCCACACCAGCGGCCAGGGGCTGCACGGCCGCATGTACAGCTAATGAGACATCGCAGATGCCGACAGCCAGAGTTGGAGGCAGGAGAGTCAGTCATGTCTTTTCCCAAGAAAGGGAAATCTGGCTTCCAGAAAAGAAAAGAAGGAGAAGGAGAAAAAGTTAATTGAACAGAAGCAAGTAGAAGGACGGTGAGCAGCAGCAGCAGAACACAGTTTTAGCTGATATTAGCTAGCTTTCAGAAGCTGCATTCATGTTAGGTGTTCAGTGTTAAACGCCTTTAGTTTCACCATCAAGATCAAATATAAATTAATTAGTGTTATCAGTGAAAACACTAATTAATATATATATTAATCAGAATTATTATCGCGGGCAGCCGCCGCCAATTAATTCGCGAACCTCGCAGTAAAAACAGGTTCACTCTGTGTGGATATTTCAGCTCCTTCCCAGTCATGGACCAGGACAAACTTGGTATCGATGGATTGGTGGTAATCTCAGGAACGTGAAGCTGCCACTGTTTTTCGTATAGCATGATGACACTGGTGTTAGAGGATTGTTATTGACTTGGTTAGATATTTTAAGCCTATTTTAAATTTCTTTGATCTTGAAAACGGACAATCTCATAATTTGGCTGATAATGCAGGGATTATAAAATTTAGAGTACATTACATTCACAGAGAGAACCTGGTTTATCTCATGTCATATGTATTTAATACATCAATATATATCAGTATTAGCAAAGCTTAACATCATGAGCCATGACAGACATGACTGAAGAGCAGATGAAGATATCATGCCAGGCACTGATGAGAAAATATTACAAGGATCTCACAGCTGAATTTGAGAATGAGATGCTACACCTGAGAACAACATATGGTGCCACATTTCCACACATTCGGTCTCCTCTTGAGCTGCTTAATGCCATACAGGATGCAATTACAGAGCATTTTTGGAGAAGTTTGTATTGGACTGAGGATATTTTGCACACTACCTGTGACTGTTGCTGGGGGTGAACGGGCTTTTAGCAAACTGAAACTGGTGAAAAATTATTTGAGATCAACAATGTCCCAGGATAGACTGAACAGCCTAGCTCTTCTTTCTATTGAAAGCCAATTAGCCAAAGGATTGGACTTTAAAGATCTCATAAGTGATTTTGCTAACATGAAGACCCGTCAGTGGGCATTTACTGGAAAATAAATTCCAGGATTTTTGTTTGAACACATTGTTGGCAAATAAAAATAATTATATGTGAAGTCTGGGCATTTAACTTTAATTATGCAGGCATTTGTATTTGCTCAATATAGAGGTTAAACTAAGATCATATTTATTATCTTGTCTTATAGCATGACAAAAAATGTGTAAGAGAGATATTAAGTAATTGAGCATGGGGGCCCACCTAGAAGACTTGTACCTAGGGCCCAGAATTTGGTGCTACGCCCCTGGACCTAAGACACTAACTCTACAAACCATACGGGAAGAGAACTTCCCACGCTGCCACATATCAGTCTCCATCCACCATTCTCTCCGCGCCTGGGTCTCATAACCACTCCAGCTCAGCCCACCGAACCTGACAGGATGACTGAGTCCCGAGTAGACCCAGCGGAGATCGCACAGCTGCGAGCTGAGGTAGCGCAGCTGCTCAGCCGAGTAGAACGCCAGGAGGCGGACAACGCCCAACTCCGTGTGGAGAACAATCAGCTGCGTGCTGTCACTGATCGCCTCGCATCCAAACTCGATTCCGTCACCGAACTGGTAGTCCAACTCTCCTCAGCCCTCCAACGACAGTCATCTGCCACTCCTAACGTGGTGGAGCCGTATCTAAGTCTCCCAGAGAAATGGGATGGGATTAAAGGATCCCCGGAGAGCATGTTGGCCGTTCTGTCAATGACTTTTGAGTGTCAGCCGGCACGCTACCCGACTTCCTGCTCTCGCGTGGCTCTGTTAACCTCCCTGCTGACTGGGCGAGCCGGTGAATGGGCGGCTGCTCTGTACCATCAGAAGTCCCCAGTCTGCAACGACTATGAAGCCTTCGTGAAAGAACTGAAGAAGGCATTCGTTCATCCCAGCAGCGAGGTCGCAGATGAGACACGCCTGCTCCAGCGTCGACAAGGCTCTCAGACCGTGGCCGAATTCACCTCACGCTTCCGGACCACCGCTGCCCGTCTAACCTGGGGTGATGCCGCGGTGAAGGCTGTGTACTTGGAGGGATTGTCACCCCGCATCCGTGAGGGCATGATTGGTCACGAGGCTCCAACCACCCTGGACCAGGCGGTGGACCTGGCTCTCCAGCTGGACCGCTGCCTCCTCACCAGACCAGGAGTGAGGGCGGTTCCCGTACAATCCCGAACTTTCCCCCGCCGTCAGGAGAACCAACCCATGGAGGAACCCATGCAACTGGGTCATTTGCCCCCCGAGGAACGGGCGCGCCGTTTTCAGGAGGGACGATGCGCCTATTGTGGGGCTCTGGGTCATCCCCGTGCAACATGCCCCATACGCCCGGGAAACGGTCCCTCCGGGTCGGTGTAGGAGCTGCCTCACTCGGAGTTTCCACTCATGCAGCTCCTCATCACACCACCCTCTTGGTCTCCTTCCAGCTGAGCCAAGGACCGGTCCCCCTGGTGGCCCTCCTCGACACCGGAGCTGCAGAAAGCTTTATCGATCAGGGGTTGGTCAACCGGCTCAAGATTCCACTCACCCTCCTCGATCATCCCGTTCCCGTCACCTCAGTGGACGGGCGCCCTCTCATGCCATATCCGATCACGCACCGAACCCAGAACCTCCGAATGACCATCGGAGAACACGTAGAGACCCTTCATTTCTTGGTCATTCACGCCCCTACGACTCCTCTCATTCTGGGTCATTCCTGGTTCCGCCTCCACGACCCTCACATCTCCTGGTCCACCAGTAAAGTCATGGCATGGGGTGTTAACTGTCGCCTTCATCATCCGTCTCCAGGATCACAGCCTAGGGAGACACCACCCAAGGATGTGGATTTAACACTCCTTCCAGGATCACAGCCTAGGGAGACACCACCCAAGGACGTGGATTTAACACTCCTTCCACCCCAATACCACGATCTGGCTCGGGTCTTTGCAAAGGAGCCTACCACCAAGCTGCCTCCTCATCGCCCCTACGATCTGGAGATCAGGCTTCAGCCCGGAACCACCCCGCCTCGGGGTCGGCTGTTCTCGCTCTCCCCAGCAGAGACCCAGGCGATGGACGCTTACATCAATGAGGCTCTCCAGAAGGGGTTTATCCGACATTCCACGTCTCCTGGGGCGGCAGGGTTCTTCTTTGTGAAGAAGAAGGAAGGTGACCTCCGGCCCTGTATAGACTATCGTGGATTGAATAAAATCACCATCAGGGACCGCCATCCTCTTCCCTTAATGAGCACGGCTCTGGACGCCACTGCCCAAGCCACACTGTTTACCAAGCTGGACCTCCGCAGTGCATACAACCTCATCCGCATAAAGGAAGGAGAGGAGTGGAAAACCGCTTTCATTACACCCACTGGACATTATGAGTACCTGGTCATGCCCTTCGGCCTCTGCAACAGCCCTGCCGTTTTCCAGCGTTTCATCACTGATGTCCTCCGTGACATGCTGGGTCGTTGGGTTTTTGTTTATTTGGACGACATCCTCATCTACTCCCGCACGGCCGAGGAACACACCCAGCATGTTCGAGCCGTTCTGTCACGCCTCCTGGAGCACGACTTATTCTGTAAACTGGAGAAGTGTGCTTTTCACCAGGAGTCCACCTCGTTTCTGGGATTCATCATCTCCTCCCAGGGCCTGCGCATGGACCCACAGAAGGTTCAGGCGGTCGCGCAGTGGCCACTACCCAAGACCCTGAAGCAGTTGCAGAGTTTCCTGGGGTTCTGCAACTTCTACCGCCGGTTTATCCGCAACTTCAGCGCCCTGGCGTCACCATTAACTTCCCTGACGAAAACAACCAATCAGCCTCGCCCTTTCCGCCTCTCCCCGGAGGCTGTTGCTGCCTTCCATGAGCTG